CAAAATTGAAGGATGTAGAGCGTTATTCCCTATCAAATAATAAAATCACTGAAATGCGGGAAGAATAACAAACTGGTTTAAGTTATGCAGTGACAAAATGCGACTAACGTGTTTTCAGTCGAACAGCCAGAGAGACTTTCTAAAGAGAATAACTGGTCACATTACACCTCATCAACTGCTATGGCATGCAGGTCGTCACCAAGGCTATGTGCACACCGTAACGTTTTCAAGCGTTTTCATATTCGTTTTCATGCCAAAATGGTTTCGAATCGAATTTCGAATGGGCATATTTTTCATTGGATCGTGTATACGGGCGTCTCAACAAAAAAAATAAAACAAAAACGATTTTGAAAACACCCGAAAACGACGCTCGTGTTCACATATAGCCCAAATCGTTTCACAAAAGCTGTTTTCTTGATCAGGATGTCGGTAAGCACTGCGCCCAATCCTAAAGGATTTAGATTTTACATTAATAAAAGCTTACCATCAGTGATCTTTTTAAATTTTCTCCATGTGCATGGCTTACCGCCTTTTGACGAAGGCGGTTGAGCATTTGATGTAGTTGTCAGCACCGCCACTAACAATCCAACTAAAATTGACGAATGGAAAAGAAGATTAGAGCCCAGTTCCTGGTGAAAAAATACAGTTTTAAAGGGGTCCCAGCTATAGTTATACAGTCAATGAGACAAAGAGATCAGAATGACTATCTGCAATAAAGACACATCCTGTGAATAACTACGGTATAAATATATCGGTTCCTTTCACTTAATGTAATAATGTATTGTTCTTGTCGACATTGATTACAAGAATCTCGTTCTTTTCGTTTACTTTAGAGAACGAACAACTCATTTGCAATGAAATAAACCTGTTTATGTACTGATATATGAATAAATTAACATGTTTATGTACTGATATATGAATATATTAACATGTTTATGTACTGATATATGAATATATTAACATGTTTATGTACTGATATATGAATAAATTAACCGGTTAGCGTCTTGTTATAAATAGAAACGCAAAAAAAATACATCCGAGCCAAATTGTCTCTCAGGGGCTGTTTATGCGGGATAAACTTGTCCTGCGTTTATATTGGGAGCATTTCAACCCGCTTGCCGTGACATTTATATAAAATTATACAACCCATTTAATGCCTTTGTGCCTTAAAGTTAATACACTGGCGGTCAAAAAGAACTGCTCAAAACAAGTTAAAATACTCTCAAATGAACGTAACTGTCCCTCTAACAATATATACGAGTGAATATAGACTAGATTACATGCTAAGCTATATGAAATATAAATTTTTTGTTGACCCTCCTTTGGCCTTATAATTGATGACGGCCTTATACCGGCGTGGCATACTAACTTTCTGTTAAGGTGGTAATCTTGAGGGGTCAAAAGAAATTCATCCCATGGACAGTCTTTACAGCAACCCATAAATCATGGACGCTTTATAAATTAACTCCTTTCTTGCACTATCCCCTTGACATTGTCCCGCTGATTTTTAATAGGGTTAAGGTATATTGACTGTGCAGGCCAATCCATTTTTGTCACCCCCTCTTCCCATGAAACCATTGTTTGACTATCTTTACATTACTGAAATATTGCTTTGAATAAGAGAATTATCCAAAATGCCTATGAAGCTCTCTCCTATATTCGCTTCTTCTTTATGAATTTGTATCTAAACAGTTCTTTTTGACAGCTAGTGTACAATGAAAGATAGATTGTTACGATTCCTGTTACATACGACAATAGCAACATTTGAGCAGTTCGTTTTGACCGCCAGTGTATATACCATGCTGTCCATGCACATGCATTAGTAGCTATCAGCATCTATTGAAGTATGTTGCCACAGTTTTTAGCCACGTCGTGTTTAAAACTAGGAAAGGAAATGCTGAGAAACATAAAACTGAATTATAAGAATTTGTCCCATTATATGAAAGCATTTTCATCCTGCTAAGTGGGATCTCGCCTCTTTCGAGCGAGACCTCGCCAAGAGCGGGCATCTTGTTCATACAAACGCATGCACAGAAGTTTTTCATTAGGAATTGTATTCATAGCAAGCCCTTCATACAGTCAGCATTTTAAACTATTGTGTCACGTCGACATGTACTGTCGCCGTTTTAAGGTACTCATGTAAGGATGATTTATCAAGGTTTATCTAAAAGGAGGATTTGAAAATTCAAAAATTACTACTTACTTTATTTCAATATTTTGCCTTGGTCAATGAAATTTTGATTGCGAAATATTCGCAATGGCTCGATTTTTTCGAGCAAACCCGCAGGTTGGATTTATATACCGCATTTATTAGGCAATCAGTATCAAAGGCAATCAGTGAGAGCGATTATTTGCAGTTTGATTGAGCTAAAAGTGCAGCGGGAAAGACGCCCAATTCATTAATCTTCCCCAAGCCAATAGACAATAACAACTATAAACATAATTATACACATGGGAAAATGCAACATCGATAGCGAAATATTTACACAAAAAGCTACAATAGAAACGAGACTTACGTTGTATAACAGGAAATGTTCTTTCTGGTGAATAAAAATCACTAAACATCAACGACAACATGATTTAAAATGGTTTACTTATTTGCGTGCATCTCTAGAAAAATTCATTTAGTTAAAATTTAAACACGACCAGCGTTTAGGTGGCTTTTTTAGACATGTTAAAAAAATCATCTAGAAAAATATCGCCTTAATTCTAAGCTAACGAATAATGTTGCATGCAACACTGTATTTTAATGTATTATTGATAAGTATCAATATACATTTCGTGTCGTGTTCCTGATTGGTCAGAAAACATCAGTTAATTCTCGATATTCTGTATTTATTAGGTAATTTCAGCTGCTGACGTGCTCAGCGTCTAATGTACGGCGTCCAAACTTTGTTCAATCGTTTTGTACGTACTTTTCTAATGTCTTTAAATGTATAATTCGCTTCGGCAGATAACATTGAGTTTGGTCTGAATAAATAATTCTTGATATCATGCTCAGCCTCTTCCAATAATTGTTTATTAATGCTACTTTTGCGGTGTTATTTTAACTGGTGGAATTAAAGATAGTAAAAATACCAAATGAAATTAGTTATTTTCAATTTAATTTAAGACAGCTAGGTGTTAAGTAACATCGTTTACCCCGACTGTGTTTGCTGCCGATATGCCCTGTTTTTTGCAGTGGCGAGCCAGTCAGACAGCCAGACAGACGGTTTTGTCTCCCTTTGTCATTTTTTTCCTTATATTTAGATATTCATTGCTTTCACATGCCGTCAATGAACGCTAAAGCTTCTTACATGCAGACGAGCTAGTTTATGACAATTTTTATGTGACCAGTTTTAATTGTTCGTTTGTACGCCCATGCAACTTTGACAATTTTCTAATGACAAGTAAACTTGTTCAAAATCGTTGATTGTTCGAAATGTTGACTTTGAACAAGTGTACTTGTCATAGAAAAAAATTCACATAGTGTGAGCTCTTATATGCGGTAGACCAGTGGACTTTAGTATTTTGCAATCGCGCGCTCACGTTTTCCGCTGTACGATCACATCGCTGGCTGCAAACTAAACTGTCAAAGTAAACTTGTTGGCACGTTCACACGAGCAAATAAAACTTGTCAAACAGAAATTTGTCATAGAGATTTGCTGTACATGCACACGTGCAATTGCCAATTAAAACTTGCCATATAAAAACTTGTCATAGAAAACCCGTTCGTCTTTAAGAGGCTTAAGATATTAGCATTGCGGGGAGAATCGTCAGGCTGTCAACAATCCGCATTAGAATTGCTTTCAGAGGAATCTGACAGTGCAGTTTTGATGACACCGTTATCCTTAAGTATTCGAGCCATTATCATGATATGAAATGAAAACTCGATATTACTAAAAATTGATCTTATAAAATAAATAAATTAAGCTTGTCGTGCGGAATAAATTATATTTTTTGTTTTTAATAGCATAGAATTAATAATAAGTCCTAGAATAATGCAAAGAGAAACTTTGAAATAAATTTCTTTACATTATTCCCACACGTATAAGGCAGGCTACGCTACTGTTCTTTTAAGTAATGTTTATTATAATCAATATCTTCTGCAGAGGATATTTTTCGAGCGTGCAAAATAATGCAATAAATATTGCGTTTTGTCAACAGTTAATTATTAATGCCCGATAGACGTTTCCCCCATGCAGTAATGCGACAAAACCAGATTCATCCGTATCGATAGCAGTCAAAAATTACCACGGCATGTGTATACTGCCTCGTATTTCATAATGTCATGGCTTCGCCTTTCACTATAAATATACATCCAGTGAAAATAGAAAACCCCAAATCGGCGCAACTATGGACGTTAACGAAAAATGCCATCAGCGTGAACCTTTCAGAATGTTGGTTGGTCGCATAAAACGGTTTGACGAGTTTCGTAAGCATTTTACCCAATTTTGCCTGCCGGCGTTACAGGAAATTTGGCCCGTCCCCCGGGCTATATTTCCTCGGAAAATTGGCCCCCTCTTCGAATATTTGCCCCCCCCCTAAATTATAGTTTGACTTACTATTTTAGAGCTATGTTTATAAAATTGATAAATTATTAAAGTAATTAACGAGAGTTTTTCTCAACATTTATAGCAGACTGCAAGTTTTAACCTCTCAAACAGTGCTAATTTAATCCCAACGAGATGTTTTTGATTCCCAATTATTCCCAATACCCTTAAAACCCTTTCATAGGGTATTAAAATAACACCTTAAAAATAACAGTGTAGTGCACGGAATTTCTTGTGTCAAAATTCATACTAAAATACTGACGATAGTTAGCTTATTAGATAAGTCATATGTGTCATGTTGTTGGCGTGACTTCGCTGGAACATTTTTAAGCGTTCCATTAGGTCTTTAGCTCTTGATCCCGAAGGAAAATTTCGACACAAATAGAGATGAAAACGGGTAACAATCTGGCCGAAATGTGAAATATTTAACACCAATGGATTGTTATTTTAATCACACAAAATATCCACTTGAGATTACACATTCTTACAAGTAAATAATTATTGTCTTGCTGCATGTTCTTAAGCCAACCAGCGTGTAACCTTGGGTTGGCTTCAATGGCTTGTAACTATGATCATTATGTACCAATTTAATTTGCTAGTTGAAAAAGGCTTCCTCCGTTAATACGACGATAAAACGTGTAATAAGACGAGTCAGACGACCAAGATATTTTAGGAAAAATATTTGAAGTTAGAGAGTATGTTGAAGGGAAATGTGCAGAAATACTATTAAGACATCCAGCATGTTGCAATTCTTGCAAAAAACACACATGCTTGAAAAATTATTGGTAGCTACATCTGATAACATTTGCTAAAATCAAAATGACGTCACCCATGTTAGTTGATATATTAACGAATTCCGACACTTATCAGACGATTTGACTTCGACTGATGACCACTCTCATTGAAAGCAACACCTTTGAAAGAGTCACCAGATGTACGAAAATATGTTGACGATTTGTCACCACACCAGTGTGTGCAAACCTTATAGCAGGGCTTATTATATCCAGACACAAGGAGACCCTTGTAGAAGTATGCGTCACAGATCAGCATTTGATATTTGTATTCCGTCGTGGCCACACCATCTTTAATTGCTGCCCATAAGCCGTAGATACTTGCATTCTTATTATAATTACCAGCAAATGTGATAGGTGGACCGCCATCTTTGGTAAAAGCTGCCTTTTGTTTAGATTCTTCATCGACAAACATCACTTCAGTAAACTGAATAAAAGTTGTTAATTGCTGAGAAATGGTTGAAAAATGTCGTCCACAGAATGGGGTAAATGGCGAAAAGAGAAAGAGAAGATAGACAGATCTAGTCTTTGTGGAAAGTGGAAATAAATTACATCATCTCCGACATCTCGTATTTGGATATAATAAATTATCAGACTTTAAAAATGCCTCGAGTTCGTAACCTTGAGTTTTAAAATACTCTTGGGAAATTCTTTATCAATAGACTCGTTCCTCTGGTAAGTTATCTAAAATTCCACTGGAATTACTTTATTTCAACAAACTCTGGATTTGCCAGAGTAAATTATATTCTAGTTACCATACGTAAGTAGTTTATAGTTTGCGCGATGAGATATTTTCGAGAATATCATGAAATATTTACCGGAATGTTGTTACAGTCTGCTCGATATCCCAGTTCAGTTGTTGTGGTGAGTTCAGTCCTTAAATTGACATGACTGTCTGTTGTATAACACATTGTCCATCCACCACCAAATGACGTCATATCACATTTCACTGCGAATGGATTGTCTTGGCCATCTCGATCTGGGGCAATCAAATATTTTCCGTCTGTGTAACACTTACTTCTATTCTTAATATCAAGACAACTAGAGCGTGGAAAAGCTAGAAAAAGAATATTGCATTTATAAACTGAAATTCCTCTACTAACTCACTTCCTAAATTTACCGATCTGATCATAAGGCCTTTAAAAATTAGGCTTCTGCAGATTGTGCCAGTAATTAATAAATATTTTTATGTCAAGATTTTATTTATTGATTTATGAGGAATTGGCAGCGAGGAACGTGTAAAGCAAAAAAGGTTGCTTAAGAAAGCAAAAGTTGTTCCAACTTCCAACCTCCAGGTTGCTCAAAACCAGAACAGTTGCTTAAAACTTAAAAAGTTGCTCAAAGGTGGCGAGCACATTCTGTACAGGCAAATTAAAATTGACAACTCATAATGAAGAGACTGGATAACAAACACTGAGCTATACTATAATTCCTGAAGGGCTTGCTCGCAACCAATGAAAACAATGGATAACAACTCATAATCAAGACAATTGATAACAACTTGCAATGAAGACAATGAAGACAATGGATAACAACTCACAGTGAAGTCAATGGAATCATAACAAGTCACAATGAAGACAATGGATATTACAATAGAGACAATAGAAAGCTGACTACCAGTAGATTATTTTTACCTGTGAACGAAAATTCCACAATCATCATTTATACATTTTGCTTACCTTCGAATTCTCTGACCTATAGTATATGGGCAATAAATAATGAGATGAGAAACATATGTACCTTATTAGGTAAATGTGGTTTGGTTAGCGTTATAAAATAGTAATAACTATATTTGTACTGTACACTATATAATAACGCTGGAAAGTAGTATGATGTTTAACTGAAGCCATGCTTGATCATTTTTAAACGATTAACTGGCTAGGCTAGCAGATGTCCCTTGCTGTTCAGCATTAAAAAAGCTAATTTAGCCACGTCCTTCAATGTAAAGTATAAACAATTGCAAAGGGAGATATATATCTGGTATAGATGTAATATGAAATGAAACTTCGGATATATACATAGATATATATGAAGAATATATTTTTAGTAACAGTCCTTTTTCAGGTTTATTTCAGCATATCTTACCAAAACGTCTTCGTAATATGTCCAATTTCCAACGTTTCCACTCTTTGTTTTGTGTATTTTTACAGTGCTGTTGCTTAGTTGGCAGTTTTTGCTATAAATCTTGCTTTTTGCTCTGAAATTGTAACCAAAGCAATTATCATGACCAATGCAGAGAAGATGACATTCTCCCAAGCGATGAACGTTGTGACTGGAGATCAAGTTTGAAGGAGGTATCGCCTTGTTTCCTGTTCAAAAACGACACGGTATAGTCGGTACAGAACACTATATTCACATCCAAAGAAAATGAACTAACAAAATAGTATTTTTAGAAATAATTTCTGAAGTTGCTTTTCTATTAACTACTTCTGCTAAATCTTAAGTAAAAAATAACATAATTAGACGTTTTGGTTCTGGCACCAATTTATTCTACTCTGACTCAAAAGCTCTGTCGCAATTTCCTGGCAAAAACAGGGTAAAAATAGCAATAGCGTATACTTTTTGCTTAATGTAATTTTTTATTTTTTGTATCAACACTGCATTGACGCCAGGAATAATTCATTTCAGTTCAGGAGTCAAGCACACTTTTAGTTGGGTTTTGAGGAATATTCTCCCCACAATTTGGATAAAAATTGCGCAGATGGGATTGCCTTCGTTTTGGGGCTGACCACAAAAAACCCCCGCAGCTTATTATCTCAGTCGAAATAACCTCTACCAGCGGACAATTTAATCGCAATATCAACGCAGAATTGTTGTCATTTTCTTATAACTCATACCGTGAGTTTATGATTGATATGCTTATGTTTCACTTATCGCTGATTTCGGGGAAAAAAATTCTGGGACTTTGCCTTTTAATTTTTAAGGAATTCTCAAACATTGCATCCCATGTAAATATAGTTTGACAAATAAGTATGATGCAGTGGGGTAGCCAGCCCGTCCTATTAATCAGCCTGTCGTCCTATAATATGCAAATTTAATTACAGGTTATTATAATTCGCAATCTCACTTTTTCCACAGTCGATGAACATCAAAATATTAGCATAGCAGAACAAAATTGTGTTTTTTTTCTCAAAATTGACCAAAGTAAGCTTGTAAAATTAAATCTTTAAAAAGCAACGAGAATTAAGAATTGAAAAAATAAACTGAATTTCCGTCACTGCGTAGTTACTAATAAATCATAATTAAACGGCCAAGGGAATTTTGACATGTAATCTGTTTTGATAAAATGTAAAGTTTATTACTGAGGCTCACCAACAGTTGTCTTCCTAAAATTTCTCCATGTACAAGGTTTGCCGTTCTCTGAACAAGGTAGTTGTTGTACTTGTGCATTTGATGTTGACAGTACCATCGCTAACAATCCAACTGAAATTGAGGAAAATGCATGATATTCATATGACTAATGCTTAACAAATTATTCAAGTAAACATGCCTAATGGCTGTATTATCAAGAGCTCATTCTGCTCACAAGCCGACACTCGTTGAAACGTATATAAATTTTGGTATTAGTGATCAATGAGAAAGTTCTTAATTTGAAAAGATTAAAGGTATAAAACACTGAAAATCAAGCTTTTATTCGACTGAAATTGTCGTCATGGAAGTGTTTTGAGATCTCCTTTTCAATACAGGCGTAATTTACTAATGATTTTGTACTGTTTTGATAGTTGAAGCTTGAATTTTTAACAATTACTTAATTACTCCAAGAGTCCAAAAAACTGCCCGCTTATAGCATAATGCATGTAGCAAAAACGGAAAGGCCAATGTTTACATTTTGTGATTATTTCTGTACCGAATGATGGAAACATTAGCCGAATATACCCGACGAAATATAATATAGACTGTTTGAGTTTTAAGCAATTTCTTAATGTAAGTTTAGTTCGGGCTTGCTCATGAAATTGTGTACTTGATTTGAAATAGCCGAGCTAGGAGTCAATGTTTAATAAAATGACGTGCAATAAAATAAAACTACAATAATTTAAGATTACAATTTTACCTATTCTTTTATTTGAGTAGAATTCTTTTTCATTTTCGTTGTAAGCTATATTTGCCAAATGTTATTGCGATGGTGTATAATTGAAAATATTGACTACATAAAAAGTACATAATTATGATAAATACGAAAAATACAATAAAACTTACATTGCCGCATGACATAAAATTCAAATCCAGTTGAACTAGGAAGTCCAAACTGAATCATCCATAAGATGAGAATTTTTAACGCGATCATTGCGAAGGACGTTTCTTTGATTCACTATACTGAATTAAGATCGACTCTATTTGACTGATGACTGCATGATATACGCCTTCAGGGGTATTTTCTTTGACACTGGGGATGTAATTAAATTAAAGGCGCCTTAAGTTTCCCAATTTATAAACTTTTACGTTTCGCTTCGGAAGTTGTCACAGACAGTAAGATAAATTGAATTTCAAGAAATTTGAATTTTCGTGTATTGCATGCAAATTAACAATGCACTCAACTAATCTCTGATTATATTTTAAACCTATTTTGACCTAAAACTAAACGTCGAAGCTTTACTTTCGGGATTGTTTTGCCAACGAAAATAATTTTCATAGGTGTTGATATTAAATAGCCTATCGCGATATACCGGCAAACTCAATTGTGCAATGTTGGATAAAATTGTCTGCTGCAAGTATATCTTTTCTTAATGATAATTACATCATCCTGAGGATGAGAACTTTATATTTTTCACGGTAAGCATATTAAGTATTGCGTGCTTTACAATTTTCTCAACAATGATTCTTCCCAACATATAACAACGTGACAACAATAATTCTGATCGAATCTTTCTAGTATGTCGGGACGAAATCCCTCTATATATAGCCTATATATATTACCTAGATTAAGCGATATTAAAATTTTTATTTAATCTTTCGATCTAAATTTAGATCGGGAAGTCGGATGAAAGCGGATCTATTCCCCTTGAATCTTGACACATCATGATTAAAAAGAATTTGAATTGCTAAATAAAAAACCTATTTTGATCGAAGAACTAATAATTTGCTCAGTTGGCCTACCGGAGTGCGGAGTTCATCAAATATTTTGGAAAATTCCTTAGAAAAACCCTCACCGACCGAACCTGTATGTACAGTATCTTCACTGACCAAAATCAATTATTTTTTGCTACTACTATTGAGCAATTTTTTTTGGGCTTGTCCTTGACCAATCACACTTGTTTCTTGAGCCACCTGGGCCGGTTGCATGAAAGTCGGATATAGTGGGTTTTTCAATCACATCAAAATCGCCCGTCTATTAAATCTTATAGTATTCCTAAATCGAGGATCCTCTCTAATAATAATTGAAATTTTATTCCTTTTCAAGCATTTTTAGAACGTTTGAAAAAATCACTGTAGACCCGGTGGATAGTGCTATCCGCCTTTCATACAACCGTCCCCTGATTGTTTAACTTCAAGCTTCCCCGAGAACTGGCAACTTTACCGCCTGTAGTTCAGAAGCTCACTCGCATCAATTTATGTCACACTCAGTGAGTGTGAGTGGATGTCATGCTGTTTTTTGTTTTTATTGATCAATAAGGAAGTTATTTCTTTTAATCAAAGCCGGGAAAAACTCAATATAAAACACTGAACTGACTGAAGCTCTAGAAATTATATTCGAGTGGAAATATCGTCATGCATGGATTACGAACGTCAATCATTTCAATCTTACAATAGTTTTACTCTGAAATGTGTTCATAAAAAGCGTTTCGCGACAATCGATCGGCACCTTATATTTATGCCTGCATGAATCCTGCAACTGCAAGGAAAATAAACAAGTAACCACGACAACCACTTTAGCTTCTTTCGAGAGAATAGAAGATGCCATCGCTCATTCAAATAATCATGAGACATTTAAGAAATAGAAAACATTTTCCGTGTTTCTACAAGTGTGTTGATTCTTATTTGTAAACACGTCGAAATTTAAGCCCGCCGCACACGAGAGCTATCACCTGCATGAGCTAAATATAAGTCAATTAAGACCTCGCGAGGCAGCTAGCTCAACTGGAAAACCATTCGCACACATGCAAGAGAAACTTGCCGCATGGGCTAACGGCCTCGTGAGGTCTTTATATTTTGCTCAGTCATCATTGACGTACATTATAGAATTAAGGATAATTAAAATGCCAAGTGACATTACTTATTTTCAACGTTCAAGACAGCTTGGTATTACTAAACATCGCTTAAGTTAGCGCCGACTGTGTTTGCTGCCGATATGCTCTGTTTTGGGCAGTAACGTAGCAAGCCAGACAGTTTTGTCTCGCTTTGTAAATTTCGAGTTCTTATATAAATTATTAACGTCTTTAAGAAATTTATTGTTTTCACGTGCAATCAATGAACACTGAAATATTAGCAAAACGGGACGAATCGTCAGGCTTGCTACGTTACACTGTCCGCATTAGAAATGCTTTTAGAGGAATCTGGCAGTGCAGATTTCATTACACCATCATCAGCATGGGTTACTTTATTCAAAACTTTTTATAGGTGACGGGTAGTTTCGTAGCTCCTCCCAAAAATGATTTTCATTGGCTGAAGTTTACAATACATTTCTGTTTCAACCAATAGCATAGCTTAGCATTATCTAATTGAACGAAAGCTTCCGAGCACTGCGACATGTCCCAAGGCGACGCCGTAACGGCGACTTTATTTCTCTTTGACAGATTCAAAATGCCCAAAATAATCGACCCATTACGATATGAGGTGAAAATTCGATATAATACTAAAAATGGATCTTTTAAAATCAATCAATTATTCCTGTCGTGAGGAATGAGTTATGTTTTTGTTGTTAATAGCATGAGAAACGCATTGAAAAAATGCGACGGAAAACTTTTAAAATAAATAGAAAATATTATATATAGTTGCGCGGAAATATGGAATTTTTTTCGAGTGTTGAACTGTTGAAGAGAATCGAAACATACATGTTACAACAATTTCATTAAAAAAAACACTTTACTTTGTTATAACAATATTTGAGCAACAATTTTTATACAGTATAAACTTAATTTATGCTCTCGAGGGAAATAGTAAGTTTTGTTTTCGCAAGAGTCTGAAGCATTGGGACTCGAGGGAAAACAAAACTCACTATTTCTCGAGGGAGTGTATACATTCAGTGCTTTGTTATATAGGAACAAAAACATAGCTACATGTTACACAACAATTTCATTTCAAAAAACGCTTTGTTATGACAACATGCGGGCGACAATTTCCCTGGCGGAAAACATTGCATTTATTTAAAGTCATGTGACAACGAATAAACCAATCAAATTTAAAATACACAGCACCTATATAACAATGCTCGTTTCATTATTCAATAATTCGATAATTGGTGGATTAACTTCATTTGGTATGAATTGCTTAATTTGGAGTTTATTTTCTGAAGATTTAGTTCATACTGTATATAATAGCGAGTTTAAGATTCACCAAATCTACGACGCGGACGTGAAGTAATACTGCTTTCATTTTCACAGTTTCCCATCAGGGATGGAAATTATGGACTCCTATCGATAAACAAAGTCAGAGCCGTATGTAAAACAAATTATTACTGCTTTCCTCACACTAGTATATAACATTTTTTATGTAACGTCCGCGTCGTAGATTTGGTGCATCTTAAACTCGCTAATGTATATATAGTGTAAAACGGGTATCAATCTGGCCGAAATGTGAATTTACTGATATTTAACACTCATGGATTGTTATTTTAATCACGCAAAAGATCTATACTTTAGATTACAAAGTTTTAGACTAAAAATTGTCTTCGTGTATGTTCTAAAGCCAATCTACCTGCACCTTGGGTTGGCTTGTAACTATCACCATTATGTTGCAATTCTACTTCGTCATTGGTTAGTTCGCTACGGAGTCACGTGTGAGATAGCGCGGGAAGGATCGAGCGGCAGTTGCAAAGGATTCTTCGAGCGAACGTCAATACTAAAATTTTTTCCGTTTAACAAAATCGAATAAAATGGCAGAAGACACTTCGGAAATGGAAAAATTACTTGAAGAACAAGACGAACACGATCGGAGTGAAGACGATCTGACACAGAATGAACGATTCATGGAAGTACTATCGAAAATGAATGATAATATTTGTGCTCTAGGCGTATCGCTAAACAAACGAAAACATGAGAGCATTGCCTCTGAGCAATCAATCACAAACACGGCAGTATCTGCCAAGAAAGCAAAAATTAGTTCACCGTCGGAGTCTGTATTAGACAATAATGAATCTGACAGTGAAGTGTTGCGGGCAGACATAGAAGGCAACAGAAATGAGAACACCTCGAACGAGGACGAATTCGAACAACACGCCAACATGGCGGACGTAAACGATCCATTACTTGATGAAATCGCGCAGTCACTTGACGAAACTGAGCGAACGGGCGAGCCCGTCTCTGAAAAACTAGCATTGATTGCAAACAAACGTTGGAATCATAAACTGACGATCAGCTAAAAGATAAGGCTGACAAATACCCGCGACCCGCGAACTGCGATAAAGTTGTAAGCCCACGAGTAAACCCTGAAATATGGGCAAAATTGTCAAGAGCGGTTCGTTGTGAGGATCACAAGCTCTTTCGTGTCCAAAACCAGTTTAGCACAGTGACCAACCTTGTTGTGCAAGCGACAGATATGCTGTTAAAAGCAAAATCTGATTCAAAAAGCCTACAAATTAATGAACTAGTGCGAATGAACACAGATGCTGTTGCTCTGGTCAGTCATGCTAGCCATGAAATAGCTCAAAGAAGGCACGAAATTATCAAACCTCACCTCCACAGGGATTATATCGAGCTATGCTCGCAAGAAGTTCCTGTGACAAGCTTACTGTTTGGAGACGACCTCCAATCAGAATTGACCCGCATTCGGGCCACAAACAAAATTGGAAATACGACAAACCCATCATCAGCCCAGCACGCGGCAAGTCAACGCCGGCCTTACAAACCAAACACAAGCAATTATGGTAACAAACAGCCTTCTTTTTTATGGCAAGGGACCCAGTCGTACAGACGACTGGAGAACAACAACAGGCGGGGTCAACACCGGGGTCAGAACCGAGCTCGTTTCGGCCCAATCAAGAAATGACCTCAGAAACTATGCCTATGCACGAACTTTCACATATACAGGTAAGCCAATACGAGTCTCTCCTGCCATCAATTATTAAATATTTTGAACACAAAGTTGCCAATTTTAAGGCAGGGCAAATTCGTAATTTCTATTCTTCTTCGAAAGAATTGACATCTGATCCAGAAATTCTGGAGACAGTGTCTGGTCAACTCATAGAATTTAACCAAAACCCTGTGCAAATAAAATTACCTGTACAGCAAAATTACTCATGCCAACAAGGACAGTTTATTGATTCTGAAATTCAAAACCTGTTGAGGAAAGGCGCGATTGTAGAATCTACACATGTGCCAAATGAATACATTTCACCCATATTCTTTCGCCCTAAGAAGGATGGATCAAATCGCATGATTTTAAACCTAAAATGTTTAAACCAATCTATCAAGTATCAACATTTTAAAATGGACACAATCTGGACTGCAATACGTATGATGCGTCCGGGTTGTTTTATGGCATCCATTGACCTAAAGGATGCATACTATTCTGTCCCAATTCACAAAGACCATCAAAAATACCTAAAATTTCATTGGAGAGGGAAGCTTTATCAATATACATGTTTCCCAAATGGATTGGCCATTTGCCCTAGGAAATTTACAAAGCTCCTAAAACCGGTTTTATCAAACTTGAGAAGCAAAGGTCATCTATCTGTAATATTCATAGATGATTCTTATTTACAAGGGGCCGACTTTAATCTGTGTGTTAAAAATGTGAAAGACACTATTACATTACTTGACCAAGTGGGTCTTGTTATACACCCTGAAAAAAAACACAAAAAATTAAGGAAGCTTGTCAAAAACTTCAACAATCTTCTCAACCTACAATACGAGAAGTGGCTAGAGTCATTGGGATGATAACAGCTAGCTTCCCAGGAGTAATGTTTGGGCCACTACATTATAGGCACCTAGATATGGACAAAACTTTTGCTCTAAAACTAGGGAAGGGCAATTATAATGCACACATGACTTTTTCAGATGAGGCTCAGCATGAGCTGAGTTGGTGGGTAAATTCAGTTGAAAGTGCATACAATGTGGTGCGTCATGGACAGGCTGACACAACCATGACCACAGATGCCTCAAAAATGGGTTGGGGTTGCTCCATAGGTAGCACATCCACAGGTGGCCCATGGGACCCTTGGGAAGCTGAGAAACACATCAACTGGCTGGAAGTTAAAGCCATATTACTCAGTCTGAAATCATTTGTAGACCATATTTGTCAAAAGCATATAAAAATCCTATCCGATAACACAACAGCGGTTTGCTGTATAAACCATATGGGAACTAGTCACTCCAAGGAAATTAATCTTTTGGTTACAGAGATATGGGATTTTTGCATTACAAATAGCATATGGATTACTGTAGCACATATCCCAGGGAAAGATAATGTCATTGCAGATTTTGAGTCTCGGAGGTGTACAGATAACACTGAATGGGCTCTAGACCAAACAGTGTATGATCAAGCAATCCAAATACTGGATGTAACACCCAGTATTGATCTGTTTGCTTCACGGCTGAATAATAAATGTAAGCCTTATGTTGCATTCAGACCTGACCCTGAGGCTCAAGCCATAAATGCCTTTCACATCTCCTGGGTAAATATGTGTTTCTATGGTTTCCCACCTTTTGCATTATCAACCAAGTTTTGCAAAAAGTTTCAGAAGAGAAGTCTACAGGCATAATAGTAGTTCCACACTGGCCAACCCAGGCATGGTGGCCATATCTAACTAATATGTTAATCAAGTGTCTTCTTATGTTACCTAGCACACAAACAACATTGAGGCTACCATCTCACCCTCAGAAACTACACCCACTACAAAAGAAGTTGCAATTACTGATGTGCCACTTATCGGGGGATTACTTGAAAGTAAAGGAATTTCAAAGGAAGCTGCTTCAATCATCATACAAGCATGGAGACCGGGAACTCAAAAACAGTACCGATACTATTTACAAAAGTGGGAACAGCACTGTTGTGAACGAGGTATTAATCCCATTTCTCCAAATGTAGGGACAGCAATTGATTTTCTACATAAATTTTACAAAGATGGACTATCCTATAGCACATTGAACACAGTCCGCTCAGCTCTATCTAGCGTTATCCACCCAATAGACAATTTCACATTTGGCAACCATCCACTAGTGACAAGATACATGCAAGGAGTGTTTGTAAATAGACCAGCACTACCACGTTACAAACACATCTGGGATGTGTCCGTGGTTATAAAATACTTAAAATCTTTGGGGGAGAATACACAACTTACCCTTCAAGATCTGACTATGAAGACAACCATGTTGCTTGCCCTTGTTACAGGACAACGTTGCCAGACCTTACAGGGCTTGGATATTGCACATGTGATTAAGAGTGATGACTTATGGTCCTTTCATATAAATAAACTGTTAAAAACCACTTGACCTGGGAAGCACTTTGGACAGATTGAGATCAAATCTTTTACAGAAGACAAAATGATATGCCCAGCAACTGTTCTCAAAGAGTATGTGGCAAGAACGCTACCTATACGAAAGGATAGCTCTCAATTACTTCTGAGCCACCAGAAGCCACACAAACCAGTTTCATCAGAAACCATTGGCAAGTGGATCAAAAAGACTTTAACTAAAGCAGGCATAGACATTACAGTATTTGGTGCTCACAGCACAAGGTCAGCATCCACATCTGCCGCGAAGGTTGGAAACATGGCAATCAGTACCATTATGAACGCAGCTGGGTGGTCGAACATGAAAACGTTCAGTAAATTTTATGACAGACCAATTGAAAGTAAACAAAAAGAAAATTTTGGGCATAGCCTCTTAAAAATTGTTAAAGTTGATTAAGCATGCATAATGTTGATCATTGTTGTTATAATAAACCAAAGTTACAGTGCTCATGGTCATTACTTTAAAGTCTCACACGTGACTCCGTAGCGAACTAACCAATGACGAAGTAGAATTAGAAAATTAAACGAGACTTACCTGTAAGGTGAAGTTGATTGAGATTCTACGAGTTATTGGTTAGGAGCGAAGGAGTCACGGACCCACCCTATGGTCTTACCCAGCCCTAGGGCTTTCAGCTGGTAATAAATATCAATGACCATTCGCACTCTCTTTGAAGACTGCCGCTCGATCCTTCCCGCGCTATCTCACACGTGACTCCTTCGCTCCTAACCAATAACTCGTAGAATCTCAATCAAACTTCACCTTACAGGTAAGTCTCGTTTAATTTTCTAATTTAATTGGCATACTGAATAAGGCTTTCTCCTTAAATTGTTCAATTGTACGACGATAAAACGGGTAAATACAAGACTAATAATACAAGTCAGACGATCAATATATTTTTGGAGAAATATTTGAGGTTAGAGGGTATGTTGTGCAGAGAGGCGTGGAAATACTATTAAGACAGTGGTACATCTGATAACATTTGTAAAAATCAAAGTTTACAGTTCTTGATGTGTTCAGTTTGCTTATAATACCATATTCAGATAAATATGAGTCATCCATGTTAATTGACATCTTAACGAATTCCTACACTTATCAGGCGATTTGATTTTGGCTCATGACCATTCTCGTTGAAAGCGACACCTTTGAAACGTTGTTTTGAGACAGCAGATGTACGAAAATATGCAGAAGATGTGTCATCAAACCACTTATTGCACTGTTTGTAGATGTTTTTGGTATGTCCTGAGAAATGTAGACCCTTATAGAAGGATGTGTCACAGATAAGCATTTGATATTTGTATGCCGTCGTGGCCGCACCATCTTCATTTGCTGTCCATAAGCCATATGATCCTGCATTCTTATTGTAATTACCAGCAAATGTGATAGGTGAACCATCATCTTTGGTAAAAGCTGCCTTTTGTTTAGATACTTCATCGACAAACATCACCTCAGTAAACTGAAAAAAAGTTGTTAATTGATAAATGGTTGAAAAATATCGTCCACTGAATGGGGTAAATGGCAAACAGAGAAAGAGAAGATGGGCAGATTTAGTCTTTGTGGAAAATGGAAATAAATTACTTCATCTCTGACATCTCGTATTTGGATATAAAAAATTATCAGAATTTTAAAATGCCCGGAGTAATAACCTTGAGTTAATTCTAAAATAGTCTTTGGAATCTCATTATCAATAAACTCCTCCGGTAAGTTATCTAAAATTCCACTGCAATTACTCTATTTCACCAAACTCTGGATTTGCCAGAGTAAATTATATTCTAGTTACCATACGTAAGTAGTTTATAGTTTGCGCGATTAGATATTTTCGAGAATATCATGAAATATTTACCGGAATGTTGTTACAGTCCGCTCGATATCCGAGTTCAGGTGTTGTGGAGAGTTCAGTCTTTATATTGACATGACTGTCTGTTGTATAACACATTGTCCATCCACCACCAAATGACGTCATATCACAATTCACTTCGAATGGTTTGCCTTGGCCATCTCCATCTGGGTCGATCAAATATTTTCCGTCTGTGAAACACTTATTTCTATTTTTAATATCAAGACAACTAGAGCGTGGAAAAGCTAGAAAAAGAATATTGCATTTATAAACTGAAATTTATCTACTAACTCACTTCCTAAATTTGCCAAACTGATCACAAGGTGAGGATATCGCTCATATTGCAGAACGAGTATTGTTTATAAACTGAAATTCTACTAACCGTACCAACTTCCTAAATTTACCGAACTGATCATAACGCCCTTAAAAATTGGCGCCCATCATTTATATATTTTGCTTACCTTCTCTGACCTATAGTATGGCAATAAATAATGAGATGAGAAAAATATGTACTCTAGGTAAATGGGGTTTTATTAGCGTTAAAAAATAGTAATAACTATTATATGTATTGTACATTATATAATAACGCTGGAATGTAGTATGAAATATCTGGTATAGATGTGATATGAAATGAAACGGATATATACATAGATATATATGAAGAATATATTAGTAGCAGTCCTTTTTCAGGTTTATTTCAGCATATCTTACCAAAACGTCTTCGTAATATGTCCAATTTCCAACGTTTCCACTCTTTGTTTGGTACATTGTTACAGTGCTGTTGCTTAGTTGGCAGTTTTTGCTATAAATGTTGCTTTTTTCTGTGAAATTGTAACCAGAGCAATTATCATGACCAATGCAGAGAAGATGACATTCTCCCAAGTGATGAACGTTGTGACTGGAGATCAAGTTTGAAAGAGGTATCGCTTTGTTTCCTATTCAAAAACGACACGGTAGTCGGTATAGAATACTATAATTATTCACTTTCAAAGCAAATAAACTAACAAAATAGTAATTTTAGAAATAATTTCTGACGTTGCTTTTCTATTAACTACTCCTGCTAAATCGTAAGTAAAAAATAGCATAATTAGACGTTTTGGTTCTGTACACCAATTTATTCTACTCTGACTCAAAAGCTCTGTCGCAATTTCCTTGCAAAAACAGCGTAAAAATAGCAATAGCATACTCTTTGCTTAATGTAATTTTTATTTTTTGTATCAACACTGCATTGACGCTAGGAATAATTCATTTCAGTTCAGGAGTCAAGCACACTTTTAGTTAGGTTTTGAGTTCAGGAACGAAGCACACTTTTAATTGGGTTTCGAGACATATTCACTCCAACAATTTGGATACAAATAGCAGATGGGATAAATTCGTTTTGGGGCTGACTACAAAAAAATTCCGAAGCTTACTACTCAGTCAAAAAAACCTCTACCAGCAGACAATTTAATCGCAATATCAACGCAAAATTGTTGAATTTTTCTTATAACTCATGCATACCGTTAGTTTAGAAGATGTTGCCTTTCCGGGAAGGCTTTTTCTTATCTTTCATGCACTTATCGCTGATTTCAGGGAAAAAAAATTCTGGGGCTTTGTCTTTGTTAAGGAATTCTCAAACATTGCATCCGATGTAAATAGTTTGACAAATATTATATAGCAGCAGTGGCGTAGCTAACCCGTCGTATTAGCCCCAATATGCAAATTTTACAGGTTATTATCATTATTAATCTCTTTATATTAGAAATTCACTGTTTTCACAGTTTTAGCGTATCAGGACAAAAGTTTTTGTTCTCAAAATCGACAAAAGTAAAATGGTAAAATTAAATATGTAAAAAGCAATGAGAAGAATTGAAAGTTGAAATGAACTGAATTTCATTGCGTAGTAACTAATAAATCGAAACAAAAATAAACTAAACGGCCAAGGGAATTTTGACATGTAATCCGTTTTGATAAAATGTAAAATTTATTACTGAGAACGGATAAAGTCTATAAAAGGCTCACCAACAGTTGTCTTCTTAAAATGTCTCCATGTACAAGGTTTACCGTCCTCGGAACAAGGTAGTTGTTGTAGTTGTGCATTTGATGTTGACAGTACTAACGCTAACAATCCAACTGAAATTAAGGAAAATGCATGATATCCGTTTAACAAATTATTCAAAAAACTAGAAGTTAGTATCGCAAGTATAGTGCTGCCTCAAAGGGCCGATTGGGGGTAATTTTACGTTCAAAATTATGTGAGCAAAATTGGGCAAATAATTATATGATTTCTCTAATAGAAATTGTTTAATTATTTTACCTTTAAATTCAAATACACAATACTAATGCCTGTATTCTCAAAACTTCTGCTCACGCAGCTTGGCGACACTCGTTGAAACGTATATAAATTTTGTTATTGGTGATCAATGAGAAAGTTCTTAATTTGAAAAGATTTAAGGTATAAAACACTCAAAATCAAGCTTTTATTTGACTGATTTTGTACCGATTTTATTCAACGATTTTGTACTATTTTGATATAGTTGAGGCTTGAATTTTTAACTTTTATTTAATTACCGCAAGAGGTCATGAAGCTGCCTGCTTATAGCATAATGCATGTAGCAAAAACTGAACGGCAAACGTTTACATTTTATGATAATTTTTATACCGAAAGATGGAAACATTAGCTATAATAAACCCCAAAAAATGCAATATAGAATGATTTGAGTTTGGTATAATTTCTGCAATTTTAGGTCGCGCTTGCTCATGAAATTGTGTACTTGATTTGAAATAACGAGCTAGGGGTCAAAAGTTAATTGAAATAAGGTACAATAAAACACAACCACAATTTAAAATTAGATATTTAAGTATTCTTTTATTTGAATAAATTGCTTTTTCATTTTCGTTGCAGGCTATATATTCGTTAAGTATAATATTGCGATGGCGTAGAATTGAAAATATTGACTGCATAAAAAGAACATATAGTAAATATGAAAAATACGATAAAACTTACATTGTTGCATAACAAAAAAATCACATCTAGTTGAACTAGGAAATCCAAACTGAATCATCCATGAGATGAGAAAAATCATTACGGAGGACGTTTCTTTGATTCACTATACTGAGTTAAGATCGACTCTTTATGACTAGGGACTGATATACGCCTTCAGTGGTATTTTCTTTGACACTGATGTAAATTGAAGGCGCCTCTCAATTTATAAGTTTTTACGTTTCGCTTCGGAAGTCGTCACAGACAGTAAGATAAATTGCATTTCTAGAAATTCGATTTTTCGTGTATTGCATGCAGTTTAAGAATTTATACACTCATCTAATCTCTGACCTTAAACCTATTTCGACCTAAAACATGCAGTTAGCTAAATTAAGTCATGCATAATTTGTGGTTAAATCCGAAATTACCAGAAGAAAGTATTAATCCGTGAAACTTTTGGATTGTCTTGGTAACGAAAATAATTGTGATAGGCGTTGATATTAACTTGCCTTTCGCGATATACCAAACAAACTCAATTGTACAAGTTTGGATAATATTTTCTACTGCAAGTATATCTTTTCTAATGATTATTACTAATTATACTGAGGATGAGAACTTTATATTTTTCACCGTATGCATATTAAGTATTGCGTGATTTACAATTTTCGGGCATAACAACGTCACAACATGATTTACAATTTTCTTTCCGGCATAACAACGTCACAACAATACATTATAGTGGTTCATTATGGGAGTAATTTGTCCGAAAACAATCCAAATCAGATTCTAGAATAAGTTAAATATTTCGCTAAATTTTCTTATTCGTCGAAGGCGGATCCACCTGACAGATAATGAATTAAAGGAAATTTAAGCTGAATTTACTGAATCGAAACTTGTTTTTATCGAAGAACTCCAGCAGGTGAAAACCCCTGATGTTTCCCGCGAAGGCGGCAATTATTCAAGCATGAACAGAAATAATTAAACTGCATTTAACAAGTATATTGAAGAGCGAGGATGGACGATAGCATAATTTAAATATTATTTTTTTCTATAGAATAATATAAATAGATAACTCAATAAAGTTTATTATAGTTTATCAATGTATAAACTCTTTAATTAAAGCTCTGCAAAACTAAATTCACGAAGTGATTCCACAAACAGACGTCCATTTTTGCAGCTGCTATCGGGATGGGCTGCATGAAATTCAGGAATAACGCTCAGTTAAGTCTGTTTCATGGCCGTTCTGTTTCTGCTGATTAAAGGCCATGCAAATATTGAACTGAGAAGAACAAAGGATTGAAGCTGTCTCGGTTTCTATTTCCCCTGTTGAAACTAATTTGCTCGAATTTATCAGTTGGCCTACAGAGTTCATCAAATACTTGGGGAAATTTGGCTGTAGAAACCACTCACCGAACCTGTCTATAACCGTATATTTTCACTGACCAAAGTCAATTCTTGCTATATTATTTATGGTATTAGGTATTTCCTTGACCAATCAAACTTGTTTCTTGAGCCATCCTGATTGGTCAATGACATGCAATGACTGAAGAAAGGGGGTTTTCTGCTTTAAAAATTTTCTTCAAGAAATTGTCAACTTCTATGTATGTAGTCTCAAAACTCACTCACATTGACTGACTCATTGCCAGCTGATTTGTGATCAGGACGTCATAAGGCTCTTCGACTGAGTAATCCGAGTTATCAGGCTCGCCTGAAGTCATAAAGGGGAAAATTTTAAATAATTTAAGTAGAAAAACAGACGTGTTTTCGATTTGATAGATTGATAATTGTTTTCAATTGTCAAAGTCAAATGAATTGAGGAAGTGATAATTCAGTTTTGTCGACGATCATGGCCTCTGATTGGTTGATTTTTACACTCAGATCAGCTTGTGCGTGTGACTTTATGTATATCAGTAATTTTATAATTACTGATCAATAAGAAAGTTCTTTTTCTACCCGATGGCAGAAAAGGTAAAGCACTGCATGAAATCAAGCTTTACATTATACATTATAATTTGACCGAATCTTTCCAGTATGCCGCGGCAATTTCCTGCTGATATATAATACCTAGATTAAGCGAAATATTTCGCTCAATTTTCTTTTAAATTTTGATCGAGAAGTTGATGAAAGCGCATCCCTTTGAGTCGTGACAGATCATGATTAAAAAGAATTTCAATTGCTAAATAAAAAATTTGTTTTGATCGAAGAACTGATAATTTGCTGAAATTTATCAGTTGGCCTTTTTAACAAGAGTAAAGAGTGATCAAATATTTTGGAAACTGCCTCAAAAAACACTCACCGACCGAACCTGTATGTACAGTATTTTCACCGACCAAAATCAAGTTTTGCTGTTATTTTTGAGCAATTCTCATTTGGCATTTCCGTGACTAATCAAACCTGTTTCTTGAGCCACCTGGGCCGGCTGTATGAACGCGGAATAATGGGTTTTTCACTCACTTCCAAAACGCCCGTTTAGTAAATCTTATTATTCCAAAATTATTATTTCGGCTCGGTTGTTCAATAAATAGATAATATTATTGCTTTTGATTTTGAACTTATCCACCGTTTAAGCTAAACGCCTTTCGAACAACCGGCCCCAGGGCGTTTTACCTTGATTATGAGTTTGGGTAAAAGGCCCTGGGATCGGCCAGCCGCTTTTGACTTCTGATCGGTTAAATGATTTTTCCTAATTTATATGTAATTAACGGAATATTTTTTAATTATTCCGAACCGAGCAAATAAATAGGGGGTGCATGCGTTCAAAGGGTGCGGTAAATGGCAGAAAACAAGACTCGAACAACCTCGCTCCCAGAGCATTTTACCTTGATTTTTACCCATAAAATGTGGGTATTTTGAACGGCCGATCCCAGGGCCTTCCTCTTCTCTCCTCCCCCAGCCCCAACCCTCCCTGGGAACGAGGTTGGTCGATGCCGGGAAAGATTCAAGATAAAACACTTGAGAAATATCGTCATGCATGGATTAGGAGAGTCAATCATTTCAATCTTGCGATTATTTACTCTTAAATGTGTTCATTCAACAACAACTATGATGGTTCGTGAATCATTAATAAATAATTTTAAAAAAAAATTAGTAAAAAGCGTTTCGCGACACTGGGCATGAATCCTGCAACTGCAAGGAAAGTAAACAAGAAACCACGACAACCACTTCATCTTCTTTCGAGTGATTTTTTATTGCTTACAGAAAAAAGTAAACAGGCCAGTTCGAAGATGCCATCGCTCATCCAAATAATCATGAGACATTTAAGAAATAGAAAACATTTTCCGTGTTTCTACTAGTGTGTTGATTCTTATTTGTAAACACCTCGAAATTTAAGCCTGTCGCACACGAGAGCTATTAACAGAACTCAAATAAGACACTGTAATCGTCAGGAAATTTGAAATAACCCAAATATTACTTACAGAACATGCATAATTATCGCATTTTATGTGCGCAGTACACACGTGCGTAAGTCAACGCGCGAAGTGGTTTTGTGGTTATATTCCGGGGTTGAATAGCCGGTTAACAATTTTTTTCATCGCTTGTTTATAAAAGTTGAATATTTAACCTTAGGTATTTTCTGCTTCAATACAAATCATATTATGTAAAGTTTTAAAACCAGGGCCGGTGCAGCGGATTAAAATTTAATTAACCTAGGGTTAGCGGGTTAACCAAGCTTTGAACAACCGGCCCCGTGGTGTCGGCTTCCAAACATCCTGAACATAAAGGTGGTTTTCCACTAGGCTGAATTCTTTCATTAAACGAAATTTTTCTCTTGATCTTTTTTCCGATGACCGGTAAGGAAATCAGCTAGGTAAAATTCTCAAGAAAAAAAATCATGCGAAAAATATTGTTTCATCTAAAAATTCTGCCAAGTGGAAAATCGCCTTAAAATAAGGGCGGTTTTCCACTAGGCGAAATTTTTCGAAGGAACGAAATTTTTCGCTCGATTTTCTCTACAATTGTGACCGGCGAAAGGAATCCGCTACGGTCGAATTCTCACCATTGAAAAGAATATCAGACGAAAATTTCGTTCGGTGGAAAAAATCCGCCAAGTGGAAAACCGCCATTAAGGGTAAGGCGAAGAAGGGACCTTCACCTACCGCGGCTACCAGTGACCCAATGAGCTCAGTCAGGGAACCGTAAGGAAACTATATTTCTGTAGCACGTTTTGCGTATTCAAGTGACGTTCAATAAACAAAATAAACAACTCCAACGACGACTCAATTTCTTAGGTTTTTCAAGTTTGTTAATAATTATTTGTTAGTTGTTACAAGAATAACACTTCCTGCAACTTACGCCTATAATTTTACCGCCATACCCGAAACAACGAAAGAAATTATTAAATCATTGTATTTACTGGATTATAACATGCGGAATGGTCAATTCATTCAATAAACTTTATCCTGACGTTTATTTGGGCTAGTAACGGCAACTCCGAACTGGCTTATCATAATATAAAATTATCAACATACACCATTCTACTGTCAATGACTATTGACTAACTCATTCTGATTAAATATCTAGGCCTAAATAAAGTTGAACAGTTCACAGCCCTTTAGTGACAAGTAGACTTGAAAAAAGCCACTGTGAAGGCAACGAAAGCTGCCGTCCCAATGTATGTACGAATGTCGTGGTAGTCTCCAAACTTTTTGAACATTCCTATGACATGTGACTCATCTGAAGGAAAAGAAAGCAAATGAATTATTGCTGGTCAGTTGAGGAAAACTCGTTCAAATCAATAATGAGAATAACTCACCATTATTCTTAAGAAGATCAGGATCCATGAGTTGGGCAATAGAGTTTGGATAGACAACTTTTATAGTAAATACACCATTGAACAGCATCCCAAGACCTCCAATTAACCATGGAAGATCTTCAACTTTTCTTTTCACCAAAAATGCCCCAACACCAGACAGTCCACCAACTAAAGCAGAACGTGGCTAAATAGAGCAGGTACAGTGATTTCTAACTTGTTCATTTATTAACTCTGAATGTCAGTGAGTGAATACCGGCCAATGATACTTTTATAGTAAATACTTAGATGAATTGCTTTTTTAAAAACTTAGATAAATTGCTTTAGGAGGCCGAAAACATGTTTTCAGTATAATGCTGATGAAGTATATTAATTTTTAAATAACTTTCCAGGCATTTTAAGGTGGTAAACAAAGCAGAGGATTGCACTTAATTGGTCAATCCAGAAACCTAAATAGAAGGTTAATTATAATGTTAATAAGGGTTGATAAAATTTGGCAAGAGTTAGCATTGAGTTGATAAGTCAGTGGTTAAATGTAAACAAGTGTTTTAAGTATAAATGCAGAACCTCTATCAACTCTAGCAATTAAACTATAGTTTTCAATTCTCAACTATAGTTGGACCAACTTTTAGGGTAGCTATCACATTAATTACCTCAGTCATTATATGCACTATAACTTAAGACATACAGGTATGGAACTAGAAATATTGCATGTTCTAACTGACTTGACCTAGTTGCTCAGTTGGAGTATTTGCCTAGCAAAGTAAAGATTGTACGTTTGATTCCCATTGTGGTAAACCTAATATTAAAGCTTGTCTACTTGGTAGCTCAGGGTAGCACTGTCATATTATTTCTCACCAAATTTTACCCTGGACTCTTGACCTATCCAGCATTGGTATAGTCTGGTGATCATTGGAAGATAAATTAATTTTAGGAGCACAAACTGTTTTATTCATCTAGGGCCAGTTGTATAAAAATCTTTATAACTAGATTTTATAACATATTATTTAAACCCTAGTTAGCTCAAAAACACACAACTCTGATAGGCCAATTCTGTCCTTAACTACATTTAAAGTCAGCTAGGCTTTTTATACAACTGGCTTCATTAAGGTAAGCAGGGCACCCTTGATTTTTATTAAAGTTTGGGCCTAATCATCATACTGCATGGTTGCATGGTGTGGTTAATTGTGAAATAAATTGTATACAAACGGTATAAAAATAAGAGCACAGTTTGTCCTGATTGTAATATGTGAAAAAATGTTTATGAGGTACAAAGGTCATTCCGATGAAATATTGGCTTTATGAAAATGTACATACAGCACGCATTTCATGAGACTTAATTATAAACATTCCATGCCACTTTATATACCAAAAGACAAGGTAAAAAAGTGCAAAGAATGCACAAACTATAGGATAAGATATTGAAAATAAGGAAAGATATTGCAATAACAGTTGATAACCGTTTACGTGTGCCTCATAACAGATGACAGAATTAATATAAATATACAGTTACACTTTATATGTTCCTTTTTACAATTAACATATATTTTGTGAAATACGTTAAAAAGTTTCACAACTTAGCGTTTATCAGGGATATGACCTACCATCTGTCTCACTCGAGGCCAAAAGTATCTAAAATTCATCAATGCTTGTTCCATATCGGTCATAGCTAAAATACCAGGCAGTTGTGATCCTCCAAGGTAGATGGCACCGCCGGAAAATATGCCTGCAGAAATTATTCCTGAAAACTTTAGACCTAATTCAAGGTTCTCTAACGTGAGGTATTTATCCATTGTAATGAGGAAATTATAGCGATTTTAAACTGAAATCGACAAAACAGATCAGATAGCTACGAATTGCAACGCGGTCAAACTAATTGCATAATTCATAAGCGTTGATAAAAACTTTTTAGTGTTATGAAAATATTCCAACCGGAAACATAGGTCGCCCAAGGTCACCCAGATATCTGTTTGTACTCAGTCTTCGACACATTGTTTACGCCCGCGGTCAGCTTCCACTGTCTGTACTAATGGACACTTGCGCTTTAGACTAATTTCTTACCTCGGCGACAAAAAAGAAATTTTCTGAAAGAGCTTACTAAAATTAGTAAAACTGCCAAGTTTGGCTGCGAATTGTTGTAAATTACAGAAAATATAGCCATGCGAAGTTGACGAATTTTGTACGCTTTTGTATTACGGCCGAAGTTTGTAACTAATTTAGTTACATATTTCCCCACGTAATACAAAAGTATACAAAATTTGCCTATATGACTATATTTTCCGTATTTTACAACATTTCGCATTTTACTAAACTACTAGCTATTTTTTTGTCGTAAACGACACTGGAAGTGTCGAAAAATCGGCAATTTTTTTACAAATTTGTTGCATTTTTCGCTGTGACTATGCGGGATGCAAGTTGCCTGATACCCGCTTTTGGTTTGAATCACGAATTCATTATTTCATTGGCTTTTACAATTTACGAACTTCTTAAAGCTCTTTGTTAAAGCCAATGAAATAATGCACTCTAGTTCAAACCAAAAGCCGGTATCAGGCAACTTGCATCCCGGGACGTAGAGTAGCAAGAAAAATTGCAATGTGTAACTGGGGCATGAAAAAATTACTAACGTTGATCGAGAAGAGTACAGTCAATTAATGATTTAGGCATTTAGCCAAGATAATCAAAATGGCGGAAAGATTTTTGATTAAAAACCAAACAGTCCCGCATGTTCAAAACGGAGGCCCCAAACAGTGAACGGAAATACTGGCTGAAGTTAAAAAACGTAACACATCAAGCTCGTATTGGAAATCGCCACTCAAAGGCAAAGAGAGGGTATTACAAATTAAACCTCTTCAAAAATTTCGATCGAGTGAACAATAAACAAATAATCATGCGATGTTACTCTTACAATTAAGAATTTAATAAAGCTTGTGATATTTGAACATTTTTAAACATCACTAGTAATATTAATCCCAAATTAAACTCACCGTCGTGGCATGATTACCTGTATACATATTACTACTATATATTAACTGATTATATACCTTGGATGTGATTACGTCACGAGACTCTCAGACAATAATTTGCAATGCAATGTGGGAAACATGTAGGAAAAAATAACCTCATTTTACATACATTAACTGAAAACTGTGCATGTGACGGAAGCACCTCTACGGTCTATTAACCGAACGTGAGGTCTGTACTGTGAAATATCAGACCGAGGCTTTTTTGTATGGACCGAGCGACGAGCTCTGAACTTCACGAGACATCTGGTTCAGATACGAAATATGCGGACCACGGTCCGGATATGGGTTCTTACAGACCGCTCGTTCAACCAATCAGAATAGAGGATCTTAAATAGATCCTCGGATAGGAATAAGTAGATATGTCCAACTTAATTTTGCCACACATCTTCACCTTTGGATGATAAATGCACTTTAATTCAAATTTTGTTTGCATTTGCTATTTTCAGCTTGCCGATGCCAATAAAATGTATAAAACTAGTATTCCAAGTCTAAACAGTCGGCTATAATTCTAAAAGCGTGTACAAATTAGTAGGTCGCTATTAACTCCTCACCATTAGCGCCTTCCAATCAATATATCAGTGTATGGCATTTAGGATGAAATTACTTTTTGATAGGGCTTGAAGTGCCGGAAGATGAGTGAATATTATTAACAGACAGTAGTTTATCAAAAAGGACAGAAATGTTTCATCAAGCTTACTTCCAGACTTTATCTGCAATCTTATTGGTGATTTTGCCAATGCTGGACGCTCAGTCATGTTCTCGAAGACACTTCCAAAGCACTAGTGTCGGTAAGTCGATAATTCCATTTTGTTTCCTCAGCTTTACGCGCGAATTTTAAGAGGACTTAGTAAAAAATGAAGAATAAATATGGGACTTACATCGCAGCATGTTGAATTACTGCGGGTTCAGGTAGTCCGGTAAATGTGAATCGTTGTCGCGTTAAATTTAACCGTTGCCCGATATGTCGTTTCTAGGGCGTGGCTTTGAAGTTGTTACAATTTCGGCATTCTTTTTTCGTCATATTTTAGTCCATTTTAGTCAGAAACGTTTGAATTTTGAACATAAACATTAACACCGCGCCCTAGAAACGTGTCAATGTCCTTTTAGAAACGTCAGCGCTAGCCCAACCTATTCACATTTTACGGTCTACCTGAATCCGCAGTAAGCGATAAATGAAAAGGAATTTTTCTACATGAGAATGATGGAATGATATACAAGGTAAAGATTTATATTTGAAATAACCTTCAAACCAGCTAAAAAATAACATCATCGACATCACATAAATGAAATGTTCCACCCTAAATGATCCAGGAAATGAAGCGTTGCGTCCATCAGAATTGATTTCAAGTCACAATATCCACAGATTGGGAGAGTGTCATTTACTGTGCATTGAGAAAGAAAATTGTTATGGTTATAACTACAGAGTGAGACCAAGCAGTGTTTATTTTGTCAACTGTCAACTTAGCAACCGCACAAAGAAGTGGAACAAAACAACGACTAAATATGGACCATGGGTTTACTACGAGGATGTTAAGGTAAGGTATATTAGTGGCCTATACAATATATCGATGTAGAGCGTGACTATGTAGGAATGGACATGCATTCATATATAAATTGCCAGATTTAGAGCTATGCACGCATGTTTCACTACCATGTTTTTTAAAATTGTTCGCTTATCTTGACGTACAAATTCAGTAACAGGATGCATGTGTATATTGCATGCTAATATATTTATGTCCCCAGGCTACCGAAGCGGTTGAAACTCTTGCAGGAAATTAGTTGGCAATCGAATATGTTCTGTTCAGTTTGAGTCCTGATTTTGTCAAATTAAACTAACATTTTTTTTATTTTTTACTATATGTAGGTCAAGGAAGGTTAGTCAGAATTTTAATTATATAACTACAACTTCGTGAAATGGAAAACGACAAACTCGGCCCTCGGGTGAAAAGAATGCAATCCAAATGAATGGGTGTTGCTGTAGAAGAGGCAGAGGGTCATGTCGCAGCTCTCGGAAGCTTTCGTCCAATTGGATAATGCTTTTCTTTGCTCTCTAAGGAACGAAGCTATGCTATTGGTTGAAACAGAAATGTATTGTAAAGTTCAGCCAATCAAAATCATTCTTGCGAGGAGCTGCGACACTACCTGTGGGGAGGCAGAGCAGCTCTCGTAGGCAATTTTTGGTCCAGCCCAATTCGATCGATGTTTTCAACACCCCTTCAAAATGGCGTCGTTATCCTACTATAGCATGGAATTAATATTTAATAGTAGACACACCGCGGAATATATAGTCTATACGGCAGAAGATGACATTATATAGTACCGGGCGCCACCAAGGGCTTGCACTGAGTTAAATGTTTTAGGCTTAATGATTAAAAAACGTTTTGATAAGATATAATTTTCATAAATTAAACTATTAATGATGATGACACCTGTTTCAATAATTTCAATGGTAAACGGTAATCGGGAGCTTTAGTAAAAAAATAAAGCAAATCATATTTTTCAGATATTGATGAATGTTCCACTGGGAAATACGAATGTCACGTGAATGCCACGTGTATCAACGCTATTGGTTCGTATGAATGCAGATGTAAACGTGGATTTTATGGAAACGGAACATACTGCGGTTCGGGTACGTACGCAAAATTGTACCGAAAGGAAACTTTTTGATAAAACTCTATTTTAATTTCCAGTAAATATCAGTCATTTTGAGAGACAGCGATCCCCCTGCATAAAATACAAGCAATGTTATGAAACGTATAACCATGTATTCATGTTGCCAACATTGTTTTTTGAATTTGCCACAATGCTAACGTAACAGGGAGTCAGAGAGTGTATATATATATTATAATTGTAATTTATTAATAAATTAGGGAAACTCAGAGAGTGAGCGTTCCAGACTTATTTGAGCTCAATGTTAAGGACTGCAGATAGTATCGAACATAGCGGATCGATCACCAATTGGGGCCGGTGTTTTGGATAGCTGACACTTTATTTAGTATATATATATATAATATTATATATATAATATATATATTAATATATATATATATATATATATATAAGTTGCGTTAATTAGCAATTACAGACTACGTCATCACCGTATGATATGTAATTTGAATATTAGTTGAGCGAACAGGCGAAGTAAAGTCGCACCTAAGGCAAGCAAGTGAAGCGATCGTTTTAGAAGTTCGAGCGTTAGGAGATCCACCCTTCAGGTACTATTTTATAGTCTTATAGTTCCGTGAACAGTTTTAGTATTATTTTGTGAATTTAGTTAGCTTTATAGTCGATTTTAACGAACATTTAATTATTACATTATCTTTGTTATTGTAAAATATGATTGGAATGTGCATGCTATATCTTTGTAAATTTATGATTTTAGAATTAAATTAAAAGGAAATCTCCTTGCGTCTCGCAGTTTTGTCACCCTGGCATGTGTCCTTACCAACTTCTGAAGGAATAAAACAGTTCAGTGCCGATTTAGTAGGCAAATAAAGAAACAGATAATCGAGTGTTCATATATTTGGCAAGCACGATGCCCGAGGGAGATTCGAGCGAAGCGTCGATTGTAGACAACAGTTCAAGCGAAACCGCGTTGAGAAACAAGCGCAAACAAGTTCGAGGGAAGATTACTCGCAGTATTAAGCGTCTAAGTGAAGGAGTTTCGAATGGAGATCGAAATTTACGACGTTTTGAGAAGGAAATCGAACAGTTACGGAAGGACTTTGATATTGCACGCGAGTTACACAGCCAGTTCTACGATTTACCAGACGTGGATGATGCCGCATTAGATAAGTGGGAAGACGACTTAACGAGTGACGTGTATGGAATCGAAGAGAGAGTCGAAGAATATATACGAGGTATATCGAAATTAAATGGCGAAGCATCTGGAGAAAACAATACAGAGAACACACCTTCCCCGCAGAACGCGTCAATAAACCAACTTCCGGAAGATCGTCAAACGTCAACACAAGTGTCAACACCGGAAGCTAGTACCTTTTCATTACAACAAGAAGAATTCGTAGCTCCATCACCTACGAGCAACACAAACAGCAGCAACACAGAAGCAACATCTCAACCAATTACCTTTGATTCCTGGATAGATGAGCTAAAGGAATTCGAAGAAACCAAAGTAACGTTGACGGATGACGGAAGCCAAATGTCAATCGCAGATGCGCTTTTGAAGTTGGAAGCAAGCCGAGACATACCGAATGTTACTTTGACCAAATTCTCTGGGAATCCATTGGATTACGCGGATTTCATCGACCGTTTTAAGATACATATCCATGACAAACCCCACCTCACCGATGATATGAGAATGATTCAACTAAAGATGCACGTCAGTGGCGATGCGGAAAGAGCAATTTCCGGTTTGAGTTCGAAAGGAGTGATGTATGCGACTGCACTGAAGATGATCAAAGAACAGTTTGGACAATGCGACTGCACTGAAGATGATCAAAGAACAGTTTGGACAACCAAGCGTGATTGCTCGCGCGTTAGTAAACAACCTGACCAAAGGAGAGAAAATCGGTAGAAGTGACAGAAAGAAGCTACGTGAGTTCTCGATCGACCTTATCAATTGCATGGCTACGATGAAACGTATTGGATATACGGCAGATATTAATGCCAATGACAACCTACGGAAGATTATCATGCGCCTACCGGACCACATAATTGAAAGATGGAAAGTCTTCGTGACAGATATCCGTGAAAAGGGTCAGACGCCCACAGTCAGCCATATTAGTGAATATGTGAGAAAGAGAGTAAAGGCAGAGTTCGACCCTGATTTTGGTGACCTACAAAGAGATCCAAGACCCCCACGAGGTGACCATCCTGCGCCGAGAAAGAATCTATACGCTACCGATCGTGATTCAAGCAGATCACCAATGAAATGTTACGTTTGTGAAGAAGATCACCGTGTCATCGATTGTCCAGTATTAGCGAAGGCCTCAGTCCCTGAAAGACTAGAACTAGTGAAGAAAGCAAGACTGTGTTTCTCATGTTTGAATCGTGGACACTCCAAGAATGATTGTCGATCAAAGAAGAAATGTAAAGAGGACGATTCATGTCCTTACTTCCATCATCCTCTTCTACACCACAGTTCAGAACCAGTTGCTTCGATTCTAGATAAAGCTAGCATGATGCCTGTAATCAGAGCTAGATTCAGAGCCCCCAACGGCCGAGTTCGTGAAGGGAACGTTTTGGTTGACAGTGGTGCCGGAACGACAGTCATTCGGAGCCAGTTTGCAAAAGAACTTGGATTGAACGGGAAAAGAGAACGTGTTGACTTAGCAGTTGTTGGAGGAGAGAAACTAGAGCAACCACACAGCCGACGAGTGAACTTTTCGATCTCTGCACTGGAAGGCAATCAAGAGTTCAAGATCGAAGCCCACGAGATAGAGAAAACTATTCTCAACGTTCCCGAGTTAAACAGAAAGTGGTTGCGTTCCTTCCCCCATCTCCGAGACATCGATTTCAGTCACGCATCGGGATCAGTCGACCTTATACTCGGAGTCCATTACACCCACCTTCATTGGGAAGAAGAGATACGCCGAGGAAAGGAATTCCAACCAGTGGCCAAGAAAACCAAACTTGGTTGGTACGTGATTGGAGCCAATGAGGGGGAAAGAAGCCATGAACTTTGTTCCATTCATTTTGTACGAAAGATAGACATGGAAAAATTTTATCAGTTTGAGACACTGGGAATTCAAGCATCCAATTGTTCGTGCCCTAAGTCAATCCTGTCACTCGACGATAAACGAGCCATAAAGCTTATGGAGCAGTCATGTAAGCGCGACGACAATCGCTATGTAATCGGCCTCCCGTGGAAAAAGGACAAGAACTTGTTGCCTGATAACTGATCCCTGGCAGAAACACGACTTCGATCCTTGGAAAAGAGTCTTAGCAAGAACGAAGAAAAGGCGGGAATGTATAATCAAGCGTTAAAGCAGTACGTAGAAAACAACTGGGCAGTACCTCTCAGTGAAGAAGATCTTAAAGTCGATAGGAGACCTGTCTATTACCTACCACATCATGGTGTTTATCGGCCAGGCAAGAAAAGTACTCCGTTACGTGTTGTCTTTGATCCAGCAAGCCCATACCATGGTATGTCATTGAATTCCTTCCTTTTCAAGGGTCCAGGTCTGATTGGCAACCTGCTCGGTGTGCTTTTACGCTTCCGTGAAGAACAAGTGGCCTTTAGCGGAGACATATCTAAGATGTTTCTCCAAATCCTATTGCCAGAAGAAGATACCCATGTCCACCGTTTCCTCTGGCGGGACCTTGATACGACAAAACAGCCAACGACATACGCCCTGCAACGAGTTACGTTCGGAGACAAGCCCTCTCCCGATATGGCAAGCTTTGTCATGCTGAAAATGGCAAAAGAAAACGAGAAAGAATGCCCTCGAGCGGCTACCGTTCTGGAACGTGATAGATATGTAGACGACCTAATCCATTCTTGCCCAAGTACGAAAGAAGCTGCAAAGACCATTGAGTAAGTGGATAGAGTTCTGTCAACCGGAAGCTTCGTTATTAAAGAATGGGTATGCTCCTCTACGATCGAGAAGACAAATGAAGAAGAACAGTCAAGAGAAGTGAACAGTGACGAGAGAAATCCACGACGTGCTACATCAATCGTGAATTTGGACGGCGAAGAAGAAAGCAAAACGCTTGGTGTAACATGGAATCCTAAGAGAGATGTAATTGGATTTGCATCGAAAGAAATAAAGGTCGAAAAACTGACAAAAAGATCCGTCCTCTCGAACATCTCGAAGCTGTACGACCCACTCGGTCTGGCATCTGCAGTAACGATAAAGGCAAGGATAGCCTTGCAGAATATTTGGAAATCAAAACAATTCGATTGGGATGACCCTCTCCCTGAAGTCATGAGCGACACTTGGAGAAAGTTGTTTAAGGAAATCGAAAGTCTCAAGAAAGTCGAGTTTCCGAGGTGCCTTCAACCGAAAGAAGTATCTGGTCATTCCGAGTTACACGTCTTCGCGGATGCAAGCAAAGATGCCTATGGCGCCGTAGCGTACTTGGTTTGGACTACCCCTTATGGTTTCCACGTTAGTCTTGTGTCTGCGAAAGCACGAGTCGCTCCACTGAGGCACACTACAATCCCGAGACTGGAGTTGATGGCTGCACTGATCGCGTCTAGACTCGCTCGTACTATTGTCGAGGAATTCAAGTTAAAGCCCTCGAGCGTCACATTTTGGTCAGATTCTACCATCGTGCTCAGCTGGCTACGCTCGGAATCGACATCATTCAAGCCGTTCGTCGGAGTTCGGGTGGCCGAGATCCAAGAAAGTTGGACTCCAAGTTCATGGCGGCATGTCCCATCAGAAGAGAATCCAGCTGATGATTTGAGTCGCGGTATTACAGTAGAAGAATGAAGTTCAGGTCGTTGGAGCAAAGGTCCATCTTTTCTTTCGAAGCCAAAGACCGAATGGCCATGTGAAAGAACAACAGAACCCGACATTCAAAATGAAGATCCCGAGAAGAAAGGGCGACCAAACCCCTTGGCAGCAATTGCAAGTGTCGAGAATTAGCCTCCGTTCAGTATCGTTTTGTCCTCGACAAGTCTCAATTCACACAAATTCGATTGGGTTTATGAAATATATTGAATTAACAAATAAAATTAAAAGTTATACTAAATCTTCACCCAAAATTCACGTTGCAGCTATGTCGAATTAATATCGCGTTTCTCGAGTCACAGACCGTTTCGCACACTATGACCCTCTATCACCAACTGACTCAATTTTGTGCAGATCCCTTATTTTACCCATATTGCTTCCCATTTCTGTGCTGTGCGTGTCATCACCTATTATTTCGTGCGCCCCGTTGTCGCTCAGTCCCGACACACTCCCCCCATATATCTTAGTGCTGTGATATATGTCTACAAAGGGTCTGAGCTAGTGCTACTGATTCAAGCTTAAATGCAATCTAATATTAGTGTCCTAATATGGATAAGTGTCACCGTTCATCTTCTTCTGCTTGATCCCGTAAGCGGATTGCTGCCGCTGCTGCTGCATCACGTTTCGGTCGGGGTTGGAAGGGAGGGGTGTCTGGGTTTAACGTGGTTGGAGGTGGTAAGTCACAGGAAAGTTCTATCGGGTAGAGTTGCTGTATTGCACGTTCAAGATTCCATTGGCGTCCTGATCTTTGCTCCCCGTACTACGTCATCACGCCCTCGAATCAGCTCTTCGACTACGCCCATCTTCCATAAATTTCTGTTCTTCTCCTCTCCTTCGATGATAACAGCATCACCACGGTTGGGATGATCTGCGTTTTTCCCATTATCTTGTCGGTGTCGATCTCTTAGCCCACGAACGTATTCTCTATACCACCGTCTCCACAACAAATCCTTGCATCTACGAAGAAACTTCGCTCTCTTCCGAAGGCTGTGGTCCTCAACGTGATAAGATTCCACTTCAGGTAAGATAACTGGATTTATCTGCAACATTCTTGCGGGGTGAGAACAGTTTGTTCTACGTCGTCTTCAACGTATGTTAACGGTCGATTGTTCATTACAACTTCTATGTCTAGGATCACGTCTGATAATTCTTCAAAGGTTAGATTACCGTTCCCGATACTTTTATAAAAACATCGTTTAAAGAGCCCGATCAACCGCTCGAACTGTCCACCCCACCAGGGTGCGCGACTCAGGTTAAACCTCCAATGGATCTCCTTGTCCGTAAGGAAACCGTTTATGATCTCATTTCCAATTGCCTTTTTCAGCCAGTTTGCCGCAGCCTTGAACGTAGTGGCATTATCTGAGTATATGATTTGTGGTCTCCCCCTTCGAGCGATCAATCTTTTTAGGCTAGGCAGAAATTGGACAACCTCCAATGATTTCAACAGCTCCAAATGAACTGCTCTTGTGAGGCTGCACGCGTAAAGTACCAGATACGCTTTCTTTTCCGCTTTTCCTGCTGTTTTGTATTTGATTGGTCCAGCGAAGTCGACTCCTATCACTTGGAACGGGGTTTCTCCTTGCGTTCGCGTAACTGGTAGTCGTCCAGGCGGTGGTCTGTGATACGCACGAGCGCGGAATCGCACACATCCATGACATTTGCTTCGTACCTGCTTCACAAGGCGACGTAGTCTAGGTATCCAGTATCGCTCACGAACTTCAGCCATGGTCGCCGGTACTCCCCCGTGAAGAGTGATGATGTGCGCTTGTTCGACTAGTTTCTTTGATAACTGCGAATTTGCAGGCAAGTATACCGGATACTCGCCTTCGATTCGCCCGCGACACTCTAGAATTCCGTTCTGGTTAGGTTGGAGGTTTAGCTCGATTTTCGTACTCTCGAATTCCGGTGCGTCCCTAGCTCCATCTTGAACTCGTTTAATCCACCACAACCGTGCGTCTTCGATCTCCTGCGTCTTTATCGGTCCCAGGGACTTCGCTTTCCTTTGGGTGTGTTGAATGAAGCGGTTAATCCAAGCACAAATTCGAAGGGTTTTCGCAACGTATACCGCTCTAGTAGTTGGTCAAACACGTCCTCGTGTGCCGTTTGATTCATCGTGACCAAAACTCGCGTCGACGGTTTTTCCTCTTGCTTCGAATCCGAACTCGCCACAGGCACAACTTCCGGTGGCCACGTCTCCTGGTTGTTAAGCCACGTTGGACCGTGCTTCCATAACTCGTTTCCCACCACATCTCCTCCGCGGCTCCCTAGGTCAGCGGGATTCTCGTTCGTTGGGACGTGATGCCATCTGATCCGGTCGAGTTCTTTGACCTTTTTCACTCGGTTGGATACGAATTGCCGGTACTCGCCTTGTCCATTGATCCAATATAACGCGACTGTCGAGTCCAACCAACAGTGTATCTCGGTCACCTTCTCCATTCCGATCGCTCGCTCGACGTTCGTCACTAAGTTTGCGGTCATATGACCAGCGACAAGCTCTAAACAGGGAATCGTGAGGCTCTTCTTCGCAAGTCTGGACTTTGCACACACAGGGCCTCCCTTTTCGTAGATGCTGCGTCTCGTTCTTTGTTTACTACAACACTTAAACGGTCTTGAGCTTTGTTCCAACCCATACCGAGCATCTTTGTCTCAGTCCCCTTTGTGCCCAGCTGCTGTTTCGCGAAGGTAGTTTCCGGGTTGCCCACGTTGCCTTCATTGGCGCTCTGGTCGGTATCCTCGAGTTCAGAGGCGTTTGAGTGCCATTTATGCAGGTGGAAAGTGGCATCCTCAAAAATACTAACCGTCTTCGCTTTTTTCTCTTTGACCTCTTCAACATTATCACCTCCCTCCATCACATCATCGACATACAGGCCGCCTTTTATCTCTTCCACCAGAGCCGGATATCTTTTCTCCCAACTCTTTAGGTGTTCGTTCAGGACACCTCCAAGAAGGAAGGGAGAACAGGTCAGCCCAAACAGCGCCCTAGTAAACCGATAGACTGTGAGGTCGTCACTATCTGGTGCCTTCCAATGGAAGCGTAGGGAATCTCGTTGGTTTTCGCGTATCCGGACTTGCAGGAAGGCTTTCTCGAGATCAGCGGTCAGCACGATGGGGAGGAAACGTAGACGAACTAAAATATCCCACAGGTGGTTCTGGAGTGGTGGGCCAGGGTTCAAGCATTCGTTCAAGGATGGATCAGATGCCGATTCTTTGGCGGACGCGTCGTAAACGACCCGAAGTTTCGTCGTCTCTGCGGTCTCCTTTACGACGGGCTTGTGGGGAATGTAAAACTCTTTACCCTTTGCTGTGGCAGGTGCTGGTTCGACAATACCTTTCACGAGCTGATCTTGAATAATGTCGTTGTACTCTTTGTAAATTCCTCTTTTCTCGAGACGTTTCACTCGAGACTCTCGCACGGCAATCTTGTAAATCAGTTTATATATCTGTATTTTAAATTGTATTGTATTGTGTTGTATTTAGTAATTTTGTCCCTAAATATCTAATGAATGTATATAATTATAGCCCACTTTTTATACTGTAGATTTTACCGTGCTTAAATAAAGTTTTGATTGATTGATTGAGGTTGTTAAGTCTCCTTATGCTTCCTCTTTCGTTCGACGGAAGGTGTGGATGATGCGATTTCCACGGTAAGCTAGTCTCGTACCAGCCTTCTTTGTCGCGTGTGAGCTCGTCTTTAAAATCATCGTAAATCGCTTGAGAGCCTTCCTCGGTGGGATCTTCAAGACCGAGGACGTCTAACCGACACAATCGCTCGAAATCGTTTTGAGATGTTGTGGTCAGTAGCATCGTATTCTGGTCCAACTCGATTCCAGGACTCATGATCATCCAACCAAACCTTGTAAATTCCGCCACGGGATCACCGTCCTTTCCTACCAGGGGTTTGGTCCTTGTTTTTATCCGAGCATACTCGCCGTTTCCCAGCACGAGGTGAATGGGTAGCTCACTCTTTGTGTCGCGTTCGTCCATTTTGACCGAATTCAAATGTTTATATCGTCTCACGAGTTGGTCGTAATTGGGGTTACTAGTTGTCAGAAGCTCGCTCTTTCCAACTTTGTTCAAGCTCACGTTTATTTTGCACGAACCGTCCAAGGAACTAACTTCTACATCGAAAACTTCTATTCGCTTTGTTTGCGAAGTCATCAACATGTCTATTCGCTGGCTCTTTATTTCGCTGGGTTTAATGTTTAACGCGTTGACAAGTTTCGCGGACGCATAGGAACTGCCGGCGCCAGAATCAATAAGTGCGCGAGTCATTACACCATTAACTTTCACAACAACAACTGGAAATATCCCTTCCGCGCTTGCCCCATCTGTCATCACTTTCTTAGCCCCGGGTGATTGGTCCCCTTCTTTTGTATGATCTTGACCAGACCTTTCGTCGCGTTCATGCTTGTACTGTTCGCAGATGGATGAGTGATGACGCTTGTTGCAATGCCCACTAGACGTCTTGCTGGCACAGTCCGAAGCTCGGTGAAATTTCGTAGCGCAGTTAAAGCACAAACCCTTTCTTGCTAAAATTTGCTTTCGGTCACTGGGATTCACGACATTTGTGCATGAAACCGCCTTATGGCCAAGATCGCCGCAATAAACACAGCCCAAAAGTTTTTGTTCATTTCCGCTCGTGCGAAACAACTTCTTACGGTAATCATCTTTGCGCGGAGGGTCGCTTTCGTTTACCGGATTGCGTTTTACCCACTGTCGCAATGCCTCAGCTAACTTCTCGAAATCCCATGTTTCCCATTCAGGATCGGTTCTAACTAAATCGCCCCTGATACCTGACAATTTATCTAATGTCATCGAGACATTTCCGTTAACCTGATCGAGTTTCCTCAAGGTCTGCAAGGCTCGCACGCAATAGGTCAAAGTCTCACTAAATTCGGCAATTTCTACGGGGGTTACTGTTCGGAATATGAGGTAGATCGAGAATCTCCCTTATATAGCTTTTGACAATCTCGGATTCCTTGCCGTAATTGTCTTGGAGAATGGCTTTGGCTCTATTGTAACCTTCGGTTGAAAAGGGCAGGGACTCGACGCATGTTTTGACCTTTGGACCCAATAATTCTAACAAATACGTAAACTTGGTAATGGGGGCCACGGAACTCTTATCAATCCCTTCGGTAAATTGTCCCCAAAACCTAGGCCAGTCTTTAAATGACCCATTAAACTTCGTAATCACAAGTTTCGGTAGCTTTGCGTTTCGACTTGGGCATTCCTGAGTTTCCGGTTTGGGTGGGGTCATTTCCCTTTGCATGCGTAGTTTCTGTTCATGCAACTTTAGTTCTGCTTCACGTTGCTGCTCTAGTCCTGCAGCCTTAGCGTTACGTTTCTCTTCAGCTAACCAATCGCTCAACTTTGAAATCTGTAAATCAGCTACTTCGAGTGTCGCCTCAACACTGTCGCTCCAATCGGAAATTTCGCTCATGCTTGTTTTTCTCGCGATTTTCTGTTCCTCAACTTTGCGCTTGCACTCGTTAGCCGCGGTGTTTACAGATTGCAGTGTTTCGATATGGCGTTTTATAGTTTCACGCTTACCTGTTGCCAGGATTTTATCTGACCTTCTCGTAACCAATTTCAGCTGGGATAATTTCGTCTCCAATTCGATGTCTGCCTTTGTCAATTCTGGTATACTTTCTCCGGTTGGTTGAACGGCCATCTCCGTAACTGTCTCTCCAGCAGTACTCTCCTTTTCTTCTTCCATCGTTGTTCAACGAGTTCGCAATCCCGTCTCGGAGGTGCCAGGTGTCGAGAATTAGCCTCCGTTCAGTATCGTTTTGTCCTCGACAAGTCTCAATTCACACAAATTCGATTGGGTTTATGAAATATATTGAATTAACAAATAAAATTAAAAGTTATACTAAATCTTCACCCAAAATTCACGTTGCAGCTATGTCGAATTAATATCGCGTCTCTCGAGTTACAGACCGTTTCGCACACTATGACCCTCTATCACCAACTGACTCAATTTTGTGCAGATCCCTTATTTTACCCATATTGCTTCCCATTTCTGTGCAGTGCGTGTCATCACCTATTATTTCGTGCGCCCCGTTGTCGCTCAGTCCCGACACAAGCCTCCAACCTCTGTTGAGTCCAGATCGTTTCTCAGATTGGGATAGATTAGTAAGAGTAACAGCTCATTGTCAACGTTTTGTTAAAAACCTGAAGAATACGATACAAGACCCGTCAAAGATCACAAAGGGAGTCCTACAGCCAGAAGAAATCAAAGAAGCCGAATTTTATTGGATCCGAGAAGCTCAACACGAATTGAAAGCTGCAGATTATCCAAACTTGTCCCCTTTCATTGAAGATGGATTAATACGAGTCGGTAGTCGATTAAATGAGTCCGCCTTACCATACGAGCAAGTTAACCCAGCCCTTCTCCCAAAGCGCCATGTTATCTCGTCCCTCATCATGCGGAACGCTCATGAAAAAGTGCGACATGCTGGTCGAGAAAGAACGTTGTGCGAATCGAGAGCGAAGTATTGGATCCTTGGTGGCAGACAGCTCGCCAAGGACTTGACAAGAAATTGTGTAACTTGTAGGAAAGCGCACCAACCACCACATTCAACGCGAATGGGAAACCTACCAGAAGATCGATTAAAGATACAAGCCCCCCCCGTTCACAGTCGTTGGCGTTGATCTTTTCGGTCCCTTTTTCTTGAAGTACGGCAGGAATAAGTCGACCAAGGCATGGGGAGCTATCTTCACGTGTGCAACATCTAGAGCCGTTCATTTGGAGATTGTGGAATCTGCGTCAGCGGGTGCCTTCCTACAAGCATTACGGCGATTTGCAGCCCACCACGGATGGCCAGAGACGATCATCTCTGACAACGGAGGTTCGTTCGTTGGAGCAGAAATCGAGCTGCGAAAGCTATTTATCGAAGGCAAGAAATGTCTAGCAGATTTCGCGGTGCTACATAAGATCCGCTGGAAATTCATCACCCCCCTCAGCCCTCACCAAGGAGGAATGTACGAAAGCCTGATCAAAGTTACGAAGAGAGCTTTACGCATAAGTACAGGCGAACAGATCCTCACCTGGAACGAGATGGCTACAATTTTTGCCGAAGTGAAATCGATTGTTAACAGCCGACCCCTGACCTATATGTCGGATGATCCAAATGATTTACGTCCCCTTACCCCCAATCACCTGTTGTTGGGTCGAGCATCGACGGACATTCCACATGGCCCCTACGAAGACACCAGGAACACCCACAAGCGCTTCCAGTACGTTCAGACGATTGTGAACAATTTCTGGAGGAGATTTATCGCGGAATACATCCCCAAGCTGATAGCGACAGGAAGATCGAAATGGCAGGAAAAGAAATATCAAGTCAAGAAGAATGACATTGTTCTTATCGTGGAGAACAACGTACCGAGAGGAAAATGGAACCTAGGTCGAGTCCTAGAAGTATTTCCCGGAAAAGACGGCGTAGTAAGGAACCTTCGTCTCAAGACACAGAGTGGAGAACTGAAGAGATCGATCCAGAAGTGCTGCATACTGTTGGAAGACAAGTGAGATCACATTCGTGATTGGTGCCCCCGGAGGGTATGAATATTTTGAATTTGAATATTAGTTGAGCGAACAGGCGAAGTAAAGTCGCACCTAAGGCAAGCAAGTGAAGCGATCGTTTTAGAAGTTCGAGCGTTAGGAGATCCACCCTTCAGGTACTATTTTATAGTCTTATAGTTCCGTGAACAGTTTTAGTATTATTTTGTGAATTTAGTTAGCTTTATAGTCGATTTTAACGAACATTTAATTATTACATTATCTTTGTTATTGTAAAATATGATTGGAATGTGCATGCTATATCTTTGTAAATTTATGATTTTAGAATTAAATTAAAAGGAAATCTCCTTGCGTCTCGCAGTTTTGTCACCCTGGCATGTGTCCTTACCACCGGTTGTTCAAAAGCCGGTTAGCTTAACCCTGGGTTAACTCGCATCAGTTTTTTAATCGCCCTAACTACATTATATTTCGCTGCAGGCGGAGTAAACGCCTGAGCAGACGTCTTGTTCTTTATTATTCCCAGGCCAGCTCCTTTTTGCAAAGTTTGCCGCTCATAGTAGAAACCAGCACTGGCTAATAATGTTGAGGATTTTTGCTTCTAGATATTCGAATTGTTGATGGTTCATACAATGCAGGACTAGTGGAGGTTTATCATAATGGCAGATGGGGAGCAGTTTGTGATCATAGTTGGGACATGAACGATGCTCGTGTTGTCTGCAGACAGCTTGGTTTTCAAGATGTGGTATACGTTTTAAGGAATCTTAGGAGCAGTAAAAATTTTTGGCCTACTCATGTTGATTGCAGAGGTGATGAGCCATTTCTTTCTTCGTGCAGACATCCTGGATGGGGAATTATTTGTCGCTCCTGTTGGAGGTCTTCTGTCGGCGCAGGTGTTCGATGCAAGTAAATAGCTATGGAGTGTACATTCATATTTGATTCATTTTAAAAAAAAGGCCGTTCCTGCTAGATTATGATTGTTGAGCTAACAAAGTACAATTGTAATATAAAATTGGTTGCTCAGAGATGAATGTTAAACGTTCGAAGTAATTAACATGAAGGGAATGCGTTTGGAATTTGCATGACGTAATTTGTGGTGACGTGTTTAACACGCTTGTTTAAGCACGATGTATTTTGCACGTTCATTTTACTCGATTTGTGCAGGGACGCCGGAACAATGCGAGGGCAAAGGGGGACAGATTTTGGTGGATGGCACTCCTGTAGCGGCGCATGAAAGAATGTTTGCAAAACATCGTCAGTTGAACTTTCAGTGTATCGTCGTGTTTTCCGGCTCTTTCCAAGATAATCTTGCATTTTTTTCACCAAATAATTGTGTTATCCTTGATGCACGTTTGTGGCACTTCTACTTAAGATATAGAAGCAAGCTTTTGAAATGAAATGACACATTTGCCCCTCTTGCCACAGGCCCTCTTGGCAAAAGGCAAGGGGGGCAGCTGCCCCTCCTCCGGGCCCTGCTCCATTTGTATACATATTAAACGAAACTGATCGCGATGACAAATACATATTTATTGAAGCGAATGGTTAGATGCACAATTTAGAACAGAATGCAAAGGGCATTTACCAGACGCAATTGGTTATCAGTGGTTAAGCTAACAAATAAATGATTCAGTACTTGTGTTCAAATAATAAAGAATTAAGTTTTAAACAAATGTCAGGAATGTAACTCTGTTTACATTGTCCGGTTGAAGATTGTTCACCCGCTATATATGTAGCCGGGCAGATATCTTTTAAAACGCTTTCTGGTCGACTGTTCGATCTGTTTGAAAACGAATATGAAAGAAGTGTATTTTTGGCGCGAACCACTGATATGACATAATTACACAATACCAGTATGACGTAATTAACCAATGTACGTAACACCGAAGAGTAAAAGACATTAATATACATTGTAGTTGGTAAAAGCAATTTGATTGGCTAATAGTATACAGTTCATATAAATCGCGCAATCACGCAAAATTCAGTTATCTGCCGCAGCAAGTGAGCCTAGGTTACTCTTATCCAGCTTTGTACTTCACTATTCGTGCACCCACGAGAAATATTTGGACCGAATTCTCGTGGTCGGTGGAAGTTGAGATACATTGTCTTCCCATTGTGCTGTGAATCCGTGTGATGCCTTTCGTGTTTCTATTATCACTTGGTAGTTGGTATATAATAAAAATTATATAAAGCTCAAAGCCAAAGGGCCGATTTTTAATAAAAACTCTTACGGCAGGAAGTCACCTTAAATAGATTCTCAATACCTAGATACCCCTAAAGATCCCCATATTCCACGGAGAGTCAATATGGCCACCTTCACACAAGGATGTTTAGAAAGGTGATTGAAACGCGAAGAAAATTTCAACATTAAATGGAACTCCATTCGCCGTCGACTCAAGTAAGTAACGATCATTCCACATAGGGATGTAGCTTTCGCACATTTTAAACGGATTATGTGCCAAGAAAATGCACGCTTACATTTTTACATCAAAAATATCGAATTGAACTACTGCTGGAGTGCACAGCGTGGAAATTTGCGATGCAGCATAGTAGCAATTTATCATGTCTTCTGTCTGTTGTACCGTTACATTTACATTACCTTTCATAGATTATTAGTATAATCGTTTTTATTTACCTATTTGGACTGTTAGATCGTCTTAAGATTCGACTTTGCGATAAAATAATTACACTTTTACGTTCACAAGAGGTTTTTTAATTGGCGTACTACAATTATTCTCTCGCAAGATTTTCAACATCTTTCCTAAGAATTTTTGTGTTTTATATTGCATTTCTCCAAGTTGAAACAAGGCAGACAGCCATAGATTAATTTCCTAGATTTTTGGATCACAGCTAGTTTGTAATATTAAGAGGATTAATACACAATGTCACACATTGTAGATGTTTCAGTATCTAGTACAACTGTATAATAAACTGTCAGTCACGACTAACCATAATATTGGTGAGAATTACAGTGCATTTGAGTTGGTGATGTGAATAGTGTCTATCAATGTGGATGCTGTGACTTTCGTTATATTGCAAGCAAATCATACTAAATTATACATATTTCTGGTGCAAGCAGGGAATTTTTTGGTCCATTACAGCTACATATTATCTGGACCAATACAGCCATCTCTGCAGTTGCTGTATACATTAAACCTGTTGTACCTTTCCATACTTTACAAATTGTACTGACATACCTACATATAAACTCACAACAATTCATCAAAATCTGTCTAAAGAATCGAATTGGAATTATAGACAGTCAAGATTGAATTTAATTGTCAGCTTGTTGCTAATTCATTGGTTTGGAATTTCCATAGAATATTTGTTTATTGTTGGTAGACCACTCATATAAGGTTAATTATCAAAATTAAACAATCCTTATTAACAATTTATTGATTTGAATAACGATAGTTAGTTTCAAAATAAGGCTCCATAGTGGTTTGTTTTTACATAAAGCCAGGTGTCAGTAACTGTTGGGGCTTGCAGCAGTTGTTATAAACTTTTGGATCTGTTTTTTAAATGAATTTAATCACATTTGTATGTTCGGCACTTTCGCAAGGTTTTGCAAAAGTCATATGCACAGGATATAAAGATACTGTTTTACTTTCACATTCCTAATCTATTGCTAAGAATAGTAGATTATAAAAAATCAAAAACAACTTGTACATACCTACTCATTTCATATTGTTTTTATATTCCTCATCAGTCATCAACCACTTCACCCATGTCAGAAAACCTAATTCTTTTACTCTATACTAGTAAATTTAATTTTGTCATTATCATGTCATTATCATTTTGTACATTGTTATAGTATATTGGTACACTGTTATAACTAGTACACATTAATACAAGATCAGTCTTGTATTCTTGTTTTCAATCTGGCCAGTAATAGATATATATGAACTATCAATATGACAATATTCACTGCAATTTTATGCTATGTTTTCTCATATGATTTAACAAGCAAGACAAAATTATCAAAATTCCATTGGCTTGTTGTCATAATTCTAATGTGTTATAAAACTTCACCTTGAAGCCTTTAACTTCAAAATATTAGGCAGTTAAAATTGATTAATGTTCCAGAATTGGGGCTCCATTGTTGTTGACAAATTTATTATATAAAAATAAACAAGCTCAAATTTCTTTTGGAATGCAAAATTGGATCAAAAGATCCAAATATGGCAAATAATGAGCACACTTGAGTCTAAACACAATGCCAGCAACCAGGATTTGTCAGTTTGGAAAAACACAATGTACGATTTTTTAAAACCGTGGCAATTATGCAGTAAAGTCTCACCTTGAATGAAACAAATTCAGATTGTGGTCTACAATATTACTTTAAACAAATGGGATATCTCTCATGTCTATTTAGGTACACATTTTTTGTAAATAAATACATTTCCTAGAGTGATAAACAACAACATTTAGGTTATTTATACCAAGTCCTCAATTTTCTTTGCTCTGACTTATCCATGTCATTCATGTTATGAAATTATGTTTGCAAATATCATTTAACACAATTTTTTCAGCTCTATGACTTCTTAACTAATAATTCTGTACATATTTTTGAGAACAGTTTTGTACAGTACATCTACAGTACAAATACATGTACTTGTACGAAGTCTCAGTAACGCTATAACTGGATATTGGTTTAGTTAACCGTTAAATTGTAGAATGTTGGAAAAGTTATGAAATTACAACTTTCCAGCTAACAATTATTAAAAATTGTCAAGAATTCGCCTCCGTGAATACCGTGCATTCCTTCACAAGTTTCAAGGTTCCCGCAGGCTCGAAATCAGTTTTCTAATTTGCACATACAGGAAACAACAATGATGAAATAATAACAATAAATTGGCAAATAACACACTCATTACCTCGCTGATTGGTTTCTCTTGTGTCTCCCGAGGCTAAGTTTCTATATAGCTATATATAACTTTCTATCAGTTCATGACTATACGTAGTCACTCAGTCGCGAACAATGGGTAATTTTAGAGTGATTGCACGAAAAACCAACCACTATTATCTTATTAATATGTGGATAATTTTAGAGTGATTGCACGATCACTACTAGATAAAATTAAGATAACCACTATCTTAATTTGTGGATACCGCTGTTCAGTAAAGTAAAAAATTCCGAGTCAATTCTGTCCGAAGACGACTTTTGAAATAAAGTGGAAAATTTACAGTCTCAACTTTTGTGTTGTTTGATCCATATATCGACTCTTTTGACTATTACGTTGTCTTGCCTTTTGGCTTTTGGTTTATACTCTACTTCTATTGCCGGCTGGTCATTGTTTTAACGCTATTCAGCTCTCCTACAACCGGCCCTGATCGTGATAAAGAGGGGTCTTTGTAGAACGTTAACCTTCTCAAAACGACAACACCTTCGGAACAAAATATTTAAGATAAAATAGAAATTTGCAGAATAAAATATTCTTGGTGTTAAGTGTGTTCAGTGATATTTAATAGCTTTAAAGACAGCCAAGACATGAGTTTCGTATCGAATTATTTCTAATGAATCGAATAAATCTATCGAATAAATCTATCGAATAAATTTCTTCTACGTTTGTAGAAGACTATCACAGTATACCCATTCTTTAATAGCTATTACTTCAATGGCAGTTGGGGTTAGAACTAATTCCACATGAATTTAAAAACCCTCTAGATTAACAATGCAATAACATTTTCATTTAAAATCTTCGCCCTTGCATGAAAAACAGCAGTCTCACCGGGCAATGTACTCTCCAGAAACTCACGAATGACGGTATCTATTTTGCGAGACATCTGACATCACCTTAGTTGAAACACGCGTGTTTGTTCGTTTTTTAAGTTGGTCAACTCCAAAACTTCTGTTATAATTCCTGTATATGAAAGGAAGAAATTTTATTTTCATTCACTTTCAACAATGAACCGTTCCTTTGCCTAAAGAGGCCTATGCATGCAAGAGAAACAAAATCTTTTCATTTTCATTATTTTTGCTCTGGAAAACAGAAAGCGGTTAAAAATTTATAGCAACAGATATTTGGTAGTCTTTTCCTGCAAGCCATACTCAAAGGTGAATCTATTTCTATTATTGACCTTGATATTTACCAGAAGTAACCTTAATTCGTTATAGCATTTCAAAACGTAAAAAGCGATGAGCGAAGCAAGGAAGAATGGTACAAAACCAAAGATCGCGCCTTTCCGCCTCTCGACTAAACCAACTATAAAAGATGCGCCTATTTTTGAGGATGTCACTTTTACAAAGAAAAAGAAACCAATTAGAAAGCTAAGTGCATCAAAAGCCGACGAGAATGCAAAAATACCTGTTAAAGTGGACCAGAGTGAAACCCCTGGTACTTTTGGAAGAAAGACCACGGACACAAGTAAAAAGTCTCCTGGTGGATTTACAAAAGATTTCGGTGACCCGTTCAAGTATAAAGTTGCCGATCCATTCGCAATAATGACCGCTGAGCCTGATGAAGTTGAGCCTGTGGAAGAACCCGCTGTGACAGACGACGAAAAATCTACTGTTGTTTCCAAAGAGGAAAGTGACCAGACAGCTGAAAATGACCAGGCAGCTGAAAATGAACCAGCTGATTCGACACTCGTCAAATCTGAGGAGTCAGTTGAAGTTGATACAGCTGATAAGGAATCTGGTGAGACTTCTGAGAAATTAGAGATGAATGAAGCTAATGATTCGGCACAATTGGAAGCTGATGAAACAAATGTGGAATCCATCGAGTCAGGTAAGATTAATGAAGGAGACCAGGGATACCATCGAGAGGAGGATATCTTGGAGATAAATGCGGACATTGATTCTAGTACTTTGAAAGATTCTGATGATGTGCTTGATGATGTCCTGACGAAACAGAATAATGACATGACTGAAGCGAAACATGACGAGAAAGACAAACGACATAAAAAACGCAAGAAATCTGAGAAACACGGAAAATCTGAGAAACATGATAAAGGTGAAAAGAAGAAAAAACGACGGAAAGAAAGGGATAAATCTGAAGATGAAAATCCTGGTAAGTTTTTGATCATCTGTGTTTTGTTATTTACTGTTATTAATTTGTGATATCTTAAAAACAGTGGTGTAAATTTACCACGAATTTAATGGTGACCAACAAGGGGGTTCTGTTTTGAAACTAAACACAATGCCAAATTTTTATGTGAAACGGTGAATAATGTACCTTTTCACCGAAAGTAGTCGTTATACTTATGGACATACGGTGGGTTACTGAAAATATGACCGAATTTGCTGATTGAACAAATTTACAAATCTGTGATCTCCTTGCTGTAGTGACTTAACCAATACGAACGAGATTAGCGGAGGGAAATCTGTTTTCATGCTTGATTTTTTTGGTATTCAGATGCAAGTGCTGCAATTTTTTCGGCTACCATGCTTGCTTGCTGGGCGTATATTTCTCGAAATGATTCTCTCTTCCTAATGCTTCGGTTGAAAGGAAATGCTTGTGAACAACATTTGTCAAAACTCCCACTGTCCTAGAGTTGTACTAAAGGCTGATAAGTCACTATCTGCAGCGAATAATTTTTTTTCAAAGTGAAAGTCACGTTGTGCGAGGGTCAGATAAAAATGTTATCTGAACTTTATCCTAAAATTTTTTTCAGTCTTCCAGTCCGATTCACGAGTTTCATCTTTTAATTCTGCGGCTAGGAACTATCCGCGTTATAAATAATTTTGTCACCTTCTTCATACTTCGGCAGGAGGATTAACAAAACTTTCGTTTTTTTGCAAATGAAATACTGTAAATTCTGGAAGCGGTTGATTGAAAGCTTGATCGAAAGCCACCCGTGCACCGCATCATTTGCTCTAGAATTTAGAAATAGACTTGTTATGTTATGTTATGTTATGTTATATGTTTGACGTCTTTGTACTGACTTGCTGTGCAATGGTTTATGTATATATAATGAACTTTTTGCATAATAGACAAACTTTTGATTTAGGCAACAAAAATGAAATTTTCGAAAAGTGCATACTAAATTTAGTAAAATTGCCAAGTTTGGCTGCAAAATATTGTAAAGTACGGAAAATATAGCCATGCGAAGTTGACAATTTTGTATACTTTTTTACTACGACTGGAAGTGTTTATAATTAGTTAAACGCTTCCGGACGTAGTAAAAAAGTATACAAAATACGCTACTTCGCATGGCTATATTATCCGTAAAACTTGACATTTTGCGGCCAAACTTAATATATTACACACTTGTAGTAATACTTTATTTTAATATTCATTTTTGGGTCAATATCTACAATTTTATAATTGTCAAGTGATTTTGCACTGTTAAAAAAATTATTATCCAATGGAGAGCGCCGCTATCCAACCGCTATCAAACCTATAATACAACCGGCTCTGAAGTTTCAAAATTCCTTTTACTGTTTTTACCTATTCCAAACACGTGAAGCAAAATGGAATATCATCATGAATTTAAAAGGGGATAGATCTATTAACGCCTTCTTTTTTGCTTTATGTTTTTGTTACTTTGCTTTTTCTTCAGCATTTAATGTTATTTGCAGATAAACGCCACAAGAAACATCGACGAGATAATCGCAGCCGAAGCCGCCACCGATCCCGAAGCCGTTCTTCATCCAAAAAACGCCGTGAGCACCCTCACAAATCCCGCGATGATACCCCGAATAAACCACGAAGACAGTCGAACAGGCGAGATTCACCCGAAAGGTTTGACTCTTTTCATAAGTCTCGCAGCAGATCACCCATTCAAAGAGCGAGGTCACGTGGACCAGACAGGATCAGTTCTTCGCCAAAACGAAAGGCTTTTGAGCGATCACCGCCACGACAAAAGCCCCGTGTATCAATGTCACATCCGGAAAAATCCGCCAAACTTATTACACCCAGGGAAATCTCCCCGAGGCGTTTGAACAAAAGAGGTAAATCCAAGACCCCTGAGGCACCTGAGGAAAGACAACCAATAAATAGATCTCCCAAACGGAGGAGAAAATCACGCGAGGAAAAATCCCCCAGGAAAAGTTGCGGGAATCGATCTCCTGTTGACTCGCAAACAAAGAAGGCTGACGGGAACAATTCTTCCTCTTCCGCCCAGACCCCTGGAGTTACATCCGGTGAGAGGCAAAAGGAGCCGTGTGCAAAGGATAGCAATTTTAAAGAATCTGATAAATCGATATCTTTAAACGCAAAGAAATCGCCAAACAGCAAAACTCAATTAAAGTCGTATGTGCAAATAGTCCCGAAGAATCAGGCTCCGCCACCTGCACGGATCGTTCCTTATGATGATGATGTCATGAGCATTTCTCCTCGAGATAACACGGATGATGGCTTAAGTATCCAATCAGAGAACAAAATGGTTAATGCTCAGGAAACGGAATCACAAAAAGTTTACAAGAGCAAAGAACTTAAACACAAAGAAAATGATGTGGCAGAAACAGGTAAAAAACTAAAAGTGAAAAAAAAGTCGAAGAAAGGTCAGGAGAAAAAACGAAAGAAAAAGGCACTCGCTAAGAGTGAAGCTCTTGAAAACGTTGAGAAAAATATCGATGATGAGCTGGAAGACTTGTTATTTACAAAAACAAACAAAGAATCGAAAGAGGAAGATGTTTTTAATGTTTCCGATGTTTTCTCAGCCAAACATAACTTACACACTGCTGTTGTTGATGTTGATAGGAAAAAACTAAAGACTGTAGACAGCCCAGTAAGAAAAGAGCCTCCGGATGGCAGAGGTCTAAGCCCTTTGCGGAAAGATCCGGCGAAAGGTAAAAAAGTAGACCAAATGAACGAAGAAGTAATGGAAGGTAAAGTGCTGTCGTCAGGTGTTGTTACAGAGGATTCATATGAACTTTATGAACCTGAAAGATTATCTGAAAAGAATGAGTCTGAGGTTCTCCCGGAAACAGAACAGCCTGGTTTGGACCTTCCTCCTGTTACGACTGGTTTTTCCACCATTCCATTTCTCTCTCATGATGAAAAACAAGAAGGCGTTATTGACGGCGAATACTTTAAAAACGATCATATGGAACAAACGTTTCAAAGTGAAAACGAACCGTACTCGCCTGTTGAAGAGAACGCGGACTGTGATATGATATCTTATTCGCCCATCGAGGAAACAGTCTCGGACTTCGGAAGTCCTAAAAAATCCTCCACCATGAACTTGTCTGACATCTCTACCAAAGATACTGTCTTTGAAAATACTGTAGGTGTCGTAACCACTGCTGAGAAGGTTGAAGACTTCTTAGGCAGCATACAACCACCAGATCAGGGAGTTCAACAGATGTCGTCCCCCACAAACGGCTTAGGAGCAAACTCTGACGATAATAATGATGATATCATTGAGCAACTTCACAAAGAGTTTGTGAGGACACAACACAACAAAGATATTCAGCCAGGGTTTTATAGGGATAACCATGTATCCGAGACTTCTAGTCTACCGCAAGTACCTAAACATCGCTCAAGTAGCGCGATTCCTTTAACAACAGCTGCTAGTGATCCTATTGTGCAAGCTTATGGACTTAACAAGGATTTAGGCACGTCGTTAAAGACGAAGCGGTCGAAACGATCAAAAGAGAATAAGTCAAAAAAGAGTGGAAAAGAAGAGAACAAGCCTTTAGCGAAAGACAAGAAAGTGATAGAGGTAAGCAATGATTGTGTACTCCATGTACATGTTTTCGTTGTGTTTGTGCTAGGATTGCGTGTGCATGATAATGTACTGCGGTCGGTTGTTTGAAAGGCGTTTAGCTTGAACAGTGGATAAGTCAAAGTTTTAAATACTCTCATACATCTTGTGAACGAGCTAGTGAACCTGCACCCTAATGCATTAAATATATACTTCCATTGAAAATTAATCTATTTACATCGAAATATTTCAGCTTTGTTGTTCAACAAATAGTTTTGTTTTCCATTTTGACCTTATCCACGGGTATGAGTGTTAAAATAATAAGAAGTTGTACAACAACTGTATCAGGAAATATTTTATAATAATTTACTCCTATAGTAAACAAATAAATTGAGCCCGTAGAACTGTGTGAGCGTGGTTAATTTAATGTAGGGGACATCTCTGCTTCATAAATATATAAAAAAAATGTCCATTACTATTGGCGTGACCGGCTTCAACTTTCTTTGAATGTATTTTTTGTTTTGTTTTTTTTCTTTGTTTTAGGACGCATTGAATCGTGTTCATCGCCAGGCTCGTGTTGAAGATGAAATGAAGCATGCATTAAAGGTGTATTTTAAGCGTAAGGATATTACTAAGGATGAATACAAGAAAATTTTGAGAAAAGGTGTACCACAGGTAATGCTTTAGACACTTTCATGATACCACACACTGCGAACCGCCCCTGTACTCTGGTGCTGCAGCCAGCTGCAGTATGCAAAAAGACCTGGGGACGAGACGAGGCAATTAGGCCATAGGAAGCCCAGGCTTCCCTCTTTGTCCGTAGTGTGTGCCTGCAGGAGGGAGAGAGAGAGAGAGAGAGGGTGGGAGGGGGAGGGAGGGATAAAATTTATTATGCATTCTGTTCAAAAGTAATTTGTTTCTCTCTTTTGTCATTGCTTTCTCGCTATGAGGACAGTCATGTGAAAATAAGTTGTGGGATCATTGCTTTATACAAATTTTCCTGTCCTATGTCCTTCATGTGCATTTTTTGGATTTTAGTTCAATCATTTCAATGTTTTTCTGCAGTATTTTATCGCATTTGTTCAAAGCACCCTGGATTCATTCGTCTCGCGTTTCAGAACATATTAAACTTGGAAATTTAAATTCTAATTTGGCCCTGCCAACTACAAGGATACGTGTAGGTCATAGTTGTCACAAGTGTCATGTCTGCGTGCTAAAATACCCATTGTTCGCTAGAGGTTTTAAAATATCACCTCAGATGGGCTGCAGTGTGCTTTAAGGAAACGAAAACGAGTAAAATGAATCATTCTTAAACTTTTAATATCCTGTTGGCGTGTTAGTTTGGAACAAAATTCCTCCTTGTTCTTGTCTGACATTCCTACACGAATACGTCCCAACAGAATGCTTGATCATTTTAATTCTAACGTTTTGGGTGATTTCCCTTCTCGCTTTTTCGTTAGAACACCCCTGAAACACCCCGTCATTGGGAATTAATTAAATTACTAATCAAATGCAGTATACCGCATGCAAACAGGGGCCATCCTTTTGAACGCATTGGGGGAACATGTCGAAAGTAACGACCCATAACTTTTGTTTTCATATCGAATAAGCAGGACCGTTTTGAGGGGACATTTTTAAGGCCCTTTGTGTAGAAACACGTCACACATTCCCTGACCATCAAGAAACCAAACAGAAAGATTATTTTTTATTTTGCAGGTCGCCAACTCCAATCACACGATTGACCCTGAACGTATTCGTTCGCTGGTGAAGAAATACGTCGCTAAGTATAAAGGTTCGAGGGAACGTAGTTCTAAATTAGACCCTAAAGGACAGCAGGAGATTCCTTTTACATTCAGTCCGTAGAATATTTGCAACTGAGTTTTCATTTCCCCCCAACCTATAAGTTATACCCTGTATTTTCGGTCTTGATGACAACAAGCACCACGAAACGTTAAAGTATGTTTGTTTTGTAAATGGGATTTCTTGGCTACTCATATTCTCCGCTATAAATTATGAAAACCCTCGATGTAATGGCAACGCCATTGCTTTTCCGCCAGAATTAGCTCAATGTCGCAAGACAATGATATTCCATATAATTATTGAAGATAAATTCTATAATTTCGTCATGATAAAGTTACTGAAGACGACTTACAATGATGTGACTGATTAGTTGAAAGTTCAGTCTATTATTATAGTCGCTCTTGAATGAATGTTTCATTTTCATTTCTTATGACGTCTAGCTGTGTTCGCATTGCGAGCCTTCCACCTTGTTTTGAACTAGACTTTGGTAGTGTAGTTGTACTTTCTGAGGCCCGGACCAGGAGGGTAGAGCTATCAGAACAGGTGACTCAGATTTCAGGGCAAATGTGCCTCCACTTGAAAGATCTTGTCTGGTAGTGTAATCACATCTCGAGAAGCGGTGAAAATCTGCAATGACCCTGAAACGCCTATAACAAATAACATGATATGGAATAAATTATATGGTTCGAAATTAACATGAATATGAGTAGCACGCTTGTTGTATTTCCAAAACAAACTCACGCATGCGCACAGATAAAACCCCGTTTTAATTATGTATAGAAATTTTAACTATAATCTGCGCCTATAAAGTAATCTTGTGTAAATACATGCGCTGCAACTCAAGTACCTCTCCGCAATGAAAGGAATCTTCGTATTTGTATAGTATACCTAGTTAATTGTGCTTTAATCATATGTCACGATGTTTTTGATTAAAATTTCAGCTTATAAACATTAATCACCATTATTGAGTGCTGAGCGTATAAAATGGAGCTTGTTGCTTTGGATGACTGTTGATTCGCTTGCCGGGTACAAAACCTCTTACGAGGCGAACGCACAAAACATAATGTTTTCTGAGGTTTCGGTAAATAAGTTTTTACTCCGGCGTCAGCGATGGAGTTGAAAATTCGCCTAGGTTTTGTTTTGTTTTTGTTTTGTTTTGTTATTTTTCGTCGTCGCAAGTGTGTTTTGGCGCGAAATATACTAGTATTTGAAAAGTGTATGTGACCCAGTAATCGCTATGTCGTTGTATTTTATAATACTCTTATTTAAGGACTTTATGTTGCGTGTATGTATAAGTTCCGTTAGCCAGGCAACTGATGTAAACACACCCTGTAAAGCTTGGTTCGGTACTTCTCAGGTATACGAGTAAATGTCAGCCCCTTAGTGTAAACACGGCTTAAATGAGTAAGTTTTATATTGATATATTGCATGAAGACTGGTACGTGCCCGGCACGCCGGAGTTAACGCCAGAAAAGGCGTCTTGTTTATTATAATTATACCACTTGTCAAAGAAAAACCAAACAACAAGGTAAACAGCGAAATGTGCGCCGCACGTGATTAAAGTTATTATTTCCCATGGGAAAAAACGCGTTATCCCACTCTGCAGTGCACATGCGGCACTCTCTTTGAATTGACACAAAAGGAGTATTCCTAAAATAACTCCAGCCGCTGTTGTGTTATGCAAAATTGTTCAAATTATATATTTTTTTAATATTGCTAAGAATATCTTGCCTGATACATCCAGTGTTTATCTTGCAGTCAGGCGTGTGATTACCAAACAGCTCAACTGACAATGATTTTCCGTATCTAACCTTCACAGCTTGCGTTGTTGGATACGAATACGCAATCACAAAGTTTTACCTGCATGCGTAAACACATATTCGGAAGTTCCGGAGATCTGTAAACGTACAAACGATGTTCTTAGAGCAGTTGGTCGATCTTCTATGTTGTTGCATACCAGTGTTGTTTTCCGAAGTTCACTGGTCATCAAGGCAGAAATCCTCGTCTGACGAAGAGAGCAATAAAAACCTATTGAATGTACCAACACCGCTCATTGACGTCGACTTCGAATATCAAGAATTTCCCGAGACAGACCAAGAACAATCAAGAAGTCTTTTGGAAAATACAGCAACTTTCTACGGCACTAACAACTGCGATGTTTTAACAAATACTATTGCGGCCGAAGTCCCCATGCATTGGTTTGTGCCGCACAAGACAAAAAGAGGTTGCTTCTTGACATCGATTTGTCAAAGTCTCCCTACAGTTGCAAGTATAATGTTATCAGCGATAGCTATCAGCATTTTTGCTGGTGTTTTTGCTTATCTGGACCTGGAAACAACTGATAAATGTACTGGCATTCAACACTATTTCAATAAATCTATTCCATTCCAAGTTATGAAGTGGAAATTAATTGGCGAATCATTTCAAGTATTGCTACTCAACTTTTGGTTTCCGGCGACAATCGCTTTATTATTCGGTGGAAAAGAATTTCTTATCAAGTTCAGATCCTTACTGTACATTGGTTTAATAATGGGACTTTTAGTCGTGATATACAAGATGTATTTATTTATTTTCACCGCAGACCATAACTTTAGTGATTCGTACAAAAGATATCCTGCAAATTTCATATTCTTACTCGGCGTCATACTGAGTTGTATTCAAATTGCGTATGCAACAAGACAATCAATAACGAGCATTGTGTTAAGAATTGGACAGATTTTTGTATTCTCTTTGCTAATGGCAATTTCTTATCGTTATTTAATCGCTCCTTGGTTTAATCGAGAGAAAAAGGAAATTTACAAAGCAATGATTGCTGGCGGGATTGCTGTCATGGCCCTGATCCCAGTTGCAGTAAGTAAGTACGTGGTGTTGTGTCACTGTTCTGGTTTTGTGACACCTGGCCTGTCGTATATTTTGGTCTACTTCAATTACTTGATTCCAGTTACTTTGTACCGGCTCATGCAGGCTGAACTAACCGAATTAAGATTGTTTGTAGCTTTTTCCTTATTACACGGAATATTCAACATCCTTGCTCAGGTAAGCTATTTTTCATTTTCTAATTCTAAATGCGCTGTTACACTATGAAAATCAAATCTATGTAAAATCATTACATTTGTCATGATTACTGTGATTGCAGCTTACGCGACATTTTCGTGAAAATTTATGGGGTCGTACGCTACGATTATTTAAAAGAGATGGTTGGAATCAAGTTCCATATTCCTCACCTCACAACAGAAGATTGCAAGCAGATCTTGAAATACAAGATATGTTGTCTCAATTTGGAACTCTCCTTTTGAGTCAAGTTTATATGATGTTTTATCGTCTCAGCACATTTGATGTTGCCTTGAGTGAAGAAATCAAGATGATTTACCCTCGTGTTCTAATTGGCCTAGCCATTGAATTCGTATTTGCCTGGCTTTCAACTTTTATTCAGATTTGGTTGTATAACATCGCTATCAAAACTGTCTGGTCGAGATACTGGAGACGACATTTACTTGCCAATGTTTTAATCGTTGTGGTGACTGTATCGTATTTCTCTCCTGTTTTATTAAGTGTGTTTATATCTCGCATGGAAAGTTTGATCCTGGAAGGATTTTTTGCACGAAACTGTACAGAATCATTTACATATAACACCGGCTAAATGCTGTATGGAAACCCAGCGCTGCACACGTCTTAGGTGAGATGGCAACACGCGATGACGGTGAATCTAACTCTTTTATGTCAACGTTAGTGAAGACTTAAGAAATATCTGGTATTCTAGGTTTATCAATAAATATATAACCATTTGAAACATTAATTTTAGGGGAAGAATTTTAATAATTTTATTCAAATTGAATTAGCATTTTCTACATTGCAGTTGCATGCCTTTAATTTGCCCAGAAAACAGAGCTCACCAGTCTCGGAAACCGCCGGCACTTCCTATAGGGTTCGTAGTTGAAACGGAAGCGATAAATCTGTAGAAACGGATCGAAGAATTTCCGGAGGAAACGTTTGTTAAAAATGTTTTCCTCTTCGACCGACTGGAACTACGGTGGCTCAGAAGGGACATGGTGTTTACATTCACTTACGTTGCGCGTTTTTATTTGCATTGCGACAAAGGTTGCGAGTTTCCACTTACGTCGCGAGTTACATTGCGACTTACGTTGGGAGTTTCTATTTCCGTTGCGAGTTGCGTGACGAGATTATATTTACGTTGCGAGTTACGTTGCCCCTTACCTTAAAGGTGGAGAAATACGGGCAACAAAATTGGTGCAACTTGCAACAAAATCTTATTTCAACACATGTTGATTGAAATGATTAGACCACAGTTAATAGATAATACATGGTTTAGAGACTAAATAAAAGCACCCTCAATCGTGCGCTATTGCCGACCACGCAACTTTGCGTTTAACTGACCAAATTGAAAAAGCTGCGGGAATGCAGATTCCCTACCCTCTCCGCAGGTGCTCCCCTGTAGGTGGGACCAGTGAAATGAATATAACTGGAACGCTACCTTCTGACAGGAAGTTGAAGCTCAGTCACCCCCAACTCGCAGCTCATCAATGTGATTTACTATGCTTCTCACATTAAGGGCTGCTAACTTAAACCCGCGTGAGGTAGGAATAACGGATTTGGGAAATTGTCAATCTGAGATAGATTTAGCAAAATCTAAAAAGTTTTGTTGTAAAGCTAAGCTACCTTGTCTATTTAAATGAAGGCCCTTCGTGTTTAGGTGGCTTTCATTCATATTTGAATTACTTAAGAAGGAAATTTTATTGCGAATACAATAGCCTTTAAGAATGTTATTAACCTGAGTAGCTTTAACAGTTAAGTCATGATTATCAGACCTTACCAGAATGGCTGATATTCCAACATCTGTACCTGGTGAATCTTCTTTTACTTGCGTTACAATGTTGACGATAGAGTCAGCTATTACTTTTGGCGTGCAATGACTTCTCAGGTCGTTTGTTCCAACATGTAAAATCATCTTGTCCGGTGTTCTTCTTGTAAGTGGCTTGACAAAGTCCTCCATTTCGTAAATATGATAAAAAGTCCCCGAATAATTTCTTTATGGAGTTAAATAACTGATTTTGTTAGTGCTTACAGCCGGCTGAGACATTCTTGATGTTAGTAGAATGCATTTTATGGACCTATTATTGGAAATGCGGAGTAAGACGGTTCTTTGCTAGGAAAAAGCGTAGAGCCTAGCGTGAAAATGCAGGAATATTTGTTTTACTCTACAATTAATACAACTTTTTTGCCCTCTAGTCACTTGGAATTAAATCAACATAAACTTATAATATTAAACAATGTCTGCCAAGTGTATTTTGCGATGAAATTTTAGCTTTTAGGATATCCGTTTCGTACAAATATTGTTGTCAAAATTGCACATCGCTATAAACTTGTTCCGTTTAAGAGAATTTGTTTCCAATCTGATCGGCAACTTTAGTTGTAATTCGTAAAACAGTTCACCTGGTTGAATTTAAGATTAGACGCGAGGTAGGAGATCTTTACAATGGTTTTACTAAAGTTCAATAATGTTCAGTTTCTTTTCTGGATTCTCTACTTTTCACTTGATCTTCTGATCTTCGTCGTTTTTGAGTTCTTGTCTTGGTAGTCTGTCCTGTAAGGTTGAGCTTCCTAACGTTTCACATGCTTTTTACTCCGCTAGTCCACTAAAGGTTGGGGTGTTGTGCACGCCCTTTTATAGTAACGGTTGAGGGAAACTTGCAGACGTCATCAATCAGAGTGGGCTGATCCTTATCCAACCAATCAGCGTTGTAAGTTAGAAATGTGGGTTGGTCTTAGAAGCTCGTTCCAGCTCTCGTATCTTGTTTGTTTAAGGCGTTGTCGCACTAGTCGAGTTGGTCTTCGACAAAATGTTTATCATCAACAACTAGTAAAATTTACAAACAATACGTCTGTGAACAATATCTTTCAACTTAAACTATTTTCACTCTTATT